TATTCCCGTCCAACTGGAAAATTGCAAGGGTACAACCAGTTCCTAAAAAAGGCAAAAAAATCCTACCTAGCAACTACAGACCGATCGCACTGCTATCTATTATTTCATAGATCATGGAGAAAGCTATCAACATCGAGCTCATGAAATACCTGGATCATTCAGGTATTATCAACGATAGACAATATAGTTTCCTGTGTGACCTGCTCCCTTACGTCTCACATTTATGGCAGCAATCTATTGAAAAATATGGGAAAATCTTAGCCATGGCACTTGATATCTCCAAGGCATTCGATCGAGTCTGACACCACGGACTCCTCGCCAAGCTTCCATTTTATGGCTTGCCTCCCTAGCTATGTTCTCTGCTAGCTAGTTTTCTCTCGACGGAGTTTCATCTGACTCATTTATCATAAATGCTGGTGTTCCACAAGGCACAATTCTAGCACCAACACTATTTCTACTCCATATCAACGATTTGTTGGAAGCAACTTCATGTCCAAAAAAAAGCTTCGCGGATGATAGTACCCTCCATACTGCCTTCTCTTCCAGGGCTCCAATACCACCCAGGCAAATCAGAAACGAACGAGGAAGATATGTTGACAACATAAATATGAACTTGGCAACAATTCTCGAATGGGCATCCAATAAATAGATTTCAATGCAAACAAAACACAAGCATGCCTTTTCTCTAGAAAAGCCGATCTCACTGTGCCCAACATAAGCTTGTCAGAAGTAACCATACCTTTGAAGACATCCATTTCGATGTTTGGTATTACTATCAGCAATAACCTTTCTTGGGAAAATCACGTGAGATCAATTGCTGAAAGTGCATCCGAAAAACTTGCTTTTCTGTTTCTGGCCAGGAGCTATTTCACTTCCAGTCAGCTGCTCATGATTTATAAGGCACAGATCCGACCTGTCCTGGAATACTAGTCCCATATTTGTATTGCAGCACCCAAACATACCCTGAAACTGTTGTATTCTGTCCAAAAAAGGGCAATTCGTCTCGTGGATGATGCCGCGCTCACAAACTCACTCACTTCTCTAGAACACCGTAGAAAAGTTGGCGATCTAGCTCTATTCTATAGATATTTTCATGAACGATGCTCTTCTGAAATATCAACAATTGTTCCTCCCTTGGCATTCCCCGCGAGATTTACCCGTCGAGTTGAGGCTTCGCACCCCTTCGTGGTCACTTTGGAGACCTGCAGAACATCTCTTTCCATAGACTCGTTCATCCAACGAACAGCGAGGCTCTGGAACACATTGCCAACGGAGGTGTTCCCCGAGGCATATAACCTTCAGAAATTTAAGAACACCAATTCCTACCTTATTTTCCGTGGTTCTCACGATGTTCTCCGAACATTACAGGATATCCCTTTTCGTGGGAACCAGAACATAAAAAAAAACAATCGTTTTGAAATTTTGGGGCTTTCTCAGTCTCCAACCATACTGAATTTTGGCACCATGAAAGCTCATACAGGGGGGTTAGAAATAAAAACGATTAATACTTCCACTCTCAACATCCTGTATCTCAAAAACGAAGCAAGTTAGGACACATGTTTATATGACCTTTATTTGCTAGAATATCACAAGGAATCACTTCTTGATTTTTTTCGGCGTTATTTAGATACACCCTGTATTAGATTTATATGCCTAAACCGCGAATTAGGTATGTACCTTTTTAATTTTTATCAAACCGAAACAGAAGTAATCGCTGTTTGCGGCAGAGGCAAGATAATGTTGAGGTTGACAAATAGTTTCGCGGTCATGGTATCAGGTATACCCACTTTTTTTCATGCAATTTTCAAGATTAACGAACTATTTAGTGGATTATAAAACGATATATAATTAGTTTGAAATCAGCAATAGTCAGGTAGTGTTAAGTTGAAGGTTTGATATATGGAGAACTTATTGAAATCGTTGAGCTGTTTGTTCAAATCAGCCTTTTGTCTAGTCATGTGACTGGTCTAGCTGGTCGGGCATCAAAACGCAATGCACGTGGTTAGCCTAGTCAGAAAATCGTTACGTTGATGTGTTGGTGTCCTGTGAAGTGATATTGTGTTGATATTTTCCTTATCATATACAAACTCAGTTTCATTCTTCTTCTGAAAATACTAACATAGCTAACGAAACACGTGTCGAGGCGTATAAAAAAAAACTGTTTGGTTAAGGCCTGGTTTCTCTGACCAGATCGGCCCGAAATATTTCGGCGAATTTCAGCGTACAGAACGTGGATATTCGCCGGATTCAGTTCGTTAAGAAGTTTCGTCCATGGTTTGTCTGAAGAAAATGTTCGTAAATTTTCGTTCCGATTTTCAGTCTTCTCGTAGGGTGTTTGCGGCAAAGTCAAAATAAAAAATGTTTTTTTTTATTACTATGATTTCAGAAGAACAACATGATGACGATGATGAGTATGCGTTATTAGGAGTATGTACTAAACATAATAAAGTTTTGAACATGTTTGAGAAAACGGCCAAAGAAGGTTTTTATGAGTTGTTAGTGTTGAAGCATCTTTCGGATAATGATACAATATTCAAAGAATTTTTCCGATTAACTCCATCACTATTCCATGATCTACTGAATCATATAAAGGTTGAAATCAGTTCGCTACCTACAAATAAGCATCCGATTCCTATTTCTACCAAGGAAAAGTTATGTGTCACATTAAGGTGAGTATATGCATAGTTTTCATGTCAAAAATAGGAAAATCTAAAAAGTGATATTTTATTTTTGTATACACTACACTATTTCGGCGAACTGTGCCGTTTTGAAATCGTTCAAATCAAACACTGGTTGATTCCGACGAACTGTTATCCGTTCACTTTCCCGAAATTTCGGTCCGATCTTTTGTACAAACCGCCACTACGTACTACAGATACATGTCGTTCGTTTGTGTTGCTGAACTTGCTAAAGTTAATTTTGTTTTCATAGTTGTCTCTGTTCATGGCATGATGTAAACAGAGAAAGTCATAGAAAAAAATCGAGTTTAGCAGGTCGAGCAATCACAAACGAACAGGCCTAAAGCTTGGTTTCACCGGAAACGGTAAAGAACTTTCTGTGCTATATCACTGAAATATTTCGGGCCGATCTGATCAGAGAAACCAGGGCTTAAGTGTAGTGAATGTTATTAAATGTGCAAAAATAATAATATGAGAAATTTCTTTATTTCAAATACAGGTTGTGAGTTCGACTCTCACGCGGGGCGGTGTTTTTTCATTTTCCGTTGTCACTCGATATTAGGGCTTTTTGATTTGCCTGGCTGGTATTAGAGCCCTGGAAGAGAAGGCGGTATGGAGGGTACTATCATCCGCGAAGCTGTGTACTGGACATGAAGTTGCTTCCAACAAATCGTTGATATCGAGTAGAAATAGTGTTGGTGCTAGAATCGATCCTTGCGGAACACCAACCTTTATGGTAAGAGGGTCAGATGAAACTCCGTCGACCACTACATGGAGAGACCTGTTCGAGAGAAAATTAGCTAGCAGAGAACATAGCTGGGGAGGCAAGCCATAAGATGGAAGCTTGGCGAGGAGTCCGTGGTGCCAGACTCGATCGAATGCTTTGGAGATATCAGGTGCCACGGCTAAGGTTTCACCATATTTTTCAATAGATTGCTGCCGTATATGTGAGACGTTAGCGAGCAGGTCAACAGTTGATCTCTGATGACGAAAGCCATATTGCCTATCGTTGATGATACCTGAATGTTCCAGGTATTTCATGAACTCGATGTTGATAGCTTTCTCCATGATCTTTGAAATAATAGATAGCAGTGCGATCGGCCTGTAGTTGCTAGGTAGGGTCTTTTTGCCTTTTTTAGGAACTGGTTGTACTCTTGCAATTTTCCAGTTGGACGGAAATATCCCCAATTTGGAAGAGTAGTTGAACAACTTGCAGAGAACAGGTGTTAGTTCGGGAGCACATTTCTTGAGAAGCACATTTCTTGAGAAAATGGTATTAAATTGAAAACATTTCCACCCAAAAACTCATTGAGATCATCGTATGTAGGCTGGCGGCCATAAGATAAAGCAAAACCAAGCACCAGAGGGAGATACACATGACAAATGATTGACAGATTGACTCCAGACATACATAGACATCTAAATCAAACAGGCAACTATTTAGGTTTAACTAAAAGAGGAAATAATACACACCGCCTGGAGCGTTGGGCATATAACGCAGAGGTTGTGAGTTCGACTCTCACGCGGAGCGGTGGAGTTTTTTCATTGTAACTCGAAAAATTGGGGCTCTTCATGATCCCGGCAAACGTTGTTTTGCCATATTATTATTTCTAGAAAAAATGTTTTTACATAAATATTTATCAAACAACTTTCATTATTTTATTTATACTTCTTTTTAGTTCGGCTATCCATGAACACGGGATTCTTTAGTTATTCAAACTATTCTACTTATTTTCTACTTCTTTTTAGTTCGGCAAATATTTTTCTAGTTGAATATTCATCAACACACTCTTATTATTTTGTTGTGAACTTCTTTTTAGTTTGTATATCCATGAAATCGTATTTCATTAGTATTTCAAACTACTATTTTTATTTTCTACTTCTATTCAGTTTGGCCTCGAGTTTGTCAAACTACTATTTATTACAAAGCTCTTTCACTATATTGGATTCGTCATCTTGAATTTCCCAATTTTAAAGGATAAAATCATAATCTCCGACCCCGAAAACCCCCAGATACAGATTTTGAATAGAATCGGATCATAATTACAAAACTCGTCCGCCATATTGAATCCGCCATCTTGAATTTCCAAAATTTGACGGAAGAATCATGATCTCCGACCCCGAAAACCACCAAATACCAATTTTGAATCCTCCATCTTGAATTTTCGATTTAAAAAATAGATTACGACCGATTCTCATACCTACCGAATACGCACAAAAAATTTCATACGAATCGGTCGAGCCGTTTCGGAGGAGTTCGACCACTAACACCGTGACCGGGACAGGAGAATTTTATATATTAGATTTTTGTCTCATTCTCAGGCAAAAGTGGCCAAGACGATATTTGTTATGTGTTGGCGAAGTACGACTACGAGCACCAGGGCCCTCAGGAGTTGGATCTCAAGAAGAACGAGCGCTACGTCCTCCTAGACGACACCAAGCACTGGTGGAAGGTGCAAAATTCCCGAGGGCAAGCCGGTTATGTGCCTAGCAATTACGTGAAGAAAGAGAAGCCGTCTCTGTTCGATAGCATCAAGAAAAAGGTGAGTTGAACTTGAAGGAATTCTTGAAGAAGTATTTTTTTCTATTGACTAATGCAGAAGGAGCGTATTCTATTGATACTAATGATAGACTATTATTCACCATGATTAGCTGAATTACTTTAACGAACCCTAACCTAATTTATGATGCCAAACCACAATATTTATAAATAGTTTGATCAAACCAAACAATAACAGGCAACCCAAAAAGGACTAACTCACAATGATAATGAGTGAATTCATATAAAACAGGATGAGTTTTACTGAATTTATGTATAATTCATTAATTCAATTAACCCTTTATTATCGACTATAGTAGCTTCACGTCAATAATACCAGTCAAACTGAAGTATGATTCAATAAGAATTTTTTTAAATGGCGTTCAAACGTTCAGTGTTTATATAATTCTACATGTATTTTGACACTTTTCAAAACTGACGGAGGTTTTGAAACGTTTTACTTTACGTAAACGTTTCTACACCAGTTACGTAGGTAATAAAAATATGGATGGACGAAGAGAATATTACATTTTGTGTTGCTTCCTCAATATCACTTGGGAAATCAGAATTTGAATCAGCCATTTTTCACTAATGGAGATATTAAACGAGTCTATTTCGTGAATTTCGTCGCTGATTTTTCACCAATTATTATTTGGCGGATACTTTAAAGTGACGGGCGAAGTCAACTTGAATACTAAATTTTGTACATAATCGGTAGACCTCATGTAGAACTGGTCATATCTGTTCAAGCGAAATTTTTCGTCAAAATTAGAAAAAAACATTGTACACGTTAGGAAACGCATTTTGTGTAACTGACAGAACCTGCAGAGCAGTTCTTCAGTCAGACCTATCGTACTCATGTGTTTTTTGAGCCTACAATGCCCTGTGAGAAATCCTACTAGTATTCTAGTTGAACTTCTATTCTGGCTCAGTAAATATTCTGTGAATGTTGGCGATGGTTTTGTAATAAACTCTTTGCTTGTCTCATTCTTGGCGAGTTGTTCCACCATTCTTGAGATTTGGTTTGCATCCATGATTTGATACTAGTCTTTTGTATAGCTTTCGCAATACCACAGAAGGGTTCTGGGCCATTCAGAGCGTTATTTGCTCCTGCTCTGGCAAGTGAGTCTGCCTCTTCATTGCCCTCGTACCCTGTATGTGCTGGTACCCATACTAGAGTCAGTCTGTTCTGACTGCCCAGTTCATTTAGGGTTTCTAAGCAGTCCCATACTAGTTTTGAGTTAAGTTGCATAGAGTTGACTGCTTTTATTGCCGCCTGGCTATCTGAATAGATGGCCCCATAAATACCAGCTCCTGATCCTTCCTCAGTTTTGTTGCCGTCCGTATAGACAGCAATGTCTGCATTGATAGGAGGTCTTTCCTTCTATGCCTCTCTGTCCGTTATACTTATTTTAAAAGTTTTTTCAAAGCTATATTTTGGAATTATGTCATCCGTTGGCGTTCCCATGATGGGGTCGCTTTGCAACTCTTCATATAGCTTCCTATATTCTTTACCGTGTGCGTTGCTTATGGGTGCTTGACCCCTTGACAATCTACTCACGACTGCTCTGGCTTCGCCTTGAATATATATTTGTAGTGGTGGCTGGTTCAAGAGGAACTCTAAAGCGGCTGTTGGAGTGGTTTTCATTGCACCAATAGCACTCAGGCAAGCTTGCCTTTGAATAGCACTGAACCTTCGAATCACTCCAGCCTGTTGTGTCTTTGGCCACCAAACTACTGACCCGAGTACTGACCTATATGCTATCATAGGCCTGATGACGCTGGCATAGAGCCATGTGGTCATTTTTGGTTGCAGTCCCCAATGTTTTCCGCACAGATTGACGGCTACTGTACTTTTTTGAACAATTTTTTGTAGGTGTTGATTCCATGTTAACTTATGGTCAAAGATAACTCCTAAGTATTTTGCTTCTAGGGCGAACGGAATTTCTACCCCGTTGAGTACTGGTGGCTTAAATCCTTCCAGTACTCTCTTTTTCGTGAAATTCACTATAGAGGTTTTATGAGGGTTCACGGTGAGTTCCTCCTCTTTACACCACTTGTCAATTATGTTTAGATCGGTTTGTGTGAGCTCCGAGACCGTACTTGCGAATCAACCTTTAGCGATAACCGCCAGATCGTTGGCGTATCCTAAGCAATAATACCCTTTGGATGTTGGCCTTCTGATCAGTTCATCCATTAGAATGGCCCATAGTAGGGGTGATAATACTCCTCCCTGTGGGCATCCCCCATCTGCTCCAGCTGTCAGAGTTGTCTCGCCAATAATTGTTGATATGATAACCCTATTTTTCAAATTGACATTTATCCACTGGCACAGGAGTAGTGGTACTCTTTTCCTTGCTAGGGCGTTAATTATAGAATTTCTTGATACTTTGTTGAAAGCACCTTCTATGTTTACGAATGTTTCTTTGTCCTCAATCGACTTTGCGAGTAGCCTGTTCAGATCATCCAGTGCTAAGTCAGTTGACTTGCCTGGCTGATACGCATATGGGCGTTCGTTGAGAGGGTTTCTTTGTTATACCTCGTCTCTTATGTATCTGTCTATCAGTCTTTCCAGTGTTTTGAGCAGGAACGACATCAAACTTATTGGGCGGTATGAGTTAGGAGTTTTGTCACCCACCTTTCCCACTTTGGGTAGGTAGATGACTGTCACCTTCTGCCATACGATGGGTATATATCGTATTGCTATACAAGCCTTGAATATACGACACAGATTTGGAATTAGTATTTCCTGCCCCTTTTGCATCTTCTCCAGGGGATTTATAAGGTTTAAATGTATTAATAGCCCACCTAATTCTGTTTGTCCTCGATATCTATGTAGCTAACCTCCATTCCATGGCAGTTGGCCTATTCGGTCTGCCAATGGTGCTGTCTGCCACTATCGGCTCATTTAGAATTACTGAGGCCGGAAAGTGTGCTTCAGTGAGCATCTTCAGACTCCTCAAAAGTTGCTGGGTAGGTATTGTCATTCTTCTTCAGAAAACTTATCAGATCGGTTAGTATAGCTATACTTTTCAATGATTTATGAATGAATCGCGGTGTCTATCTATTGTAATGTAATATGAGGACTGGATACAGCCTTCCATCTTCATTTTTTCAGGTGAAAAAAGGATCAGGATCAAAGACCCTTCCCTCGAACAACTCCCCGTCTCGAGCAGCGGAATCTCCCAGTATGGCGCGGCGACTGCCAGCGGACCCCTCGGAGGCCATCGGCATGGCCATCGTCAAGTACAACTACCAGGCGCAGCAGCCCGACGAGCTGTCGCTGGTGAAGGGGTCGCGCATCCTCATTCTGGAGAAGAGCAACGATGGTGAGTGGATCATCAACTGAAAAATCAGCTTCATTTCTACATGAACAGGACTTGAAAGTAGCATATAGAACAAATAACACGTTGGGAAGGTTTATCAAGAATAAAAAAGATAAAACTTCCAAATTCGAAAGTTCAGGGGTATACAAACTCAATTGTGGATCTTGTATCTAAGGTATATATCGGCCAGACAGGTCGTACGTTTAATCAGCGTATTCATGAAAATAAGATGAATTTTTTGAAAAAGAAAACAAATTCTGTTCAGTCACCACTTAGTAATATAGGTATATGTATAGCAATCCTAATTTTCTCTAGTAATTTTGAATAATATGTTTTTTGTTTATAAATTTAAATCACCCTGTGAATGATTTGGATTTGATATATTAATAGCATGAAATGTGCAAGGTTATATGCATTCATTTATTTGCTTCAATTTCCTATTGGTATTGACTGCTGATATTCTCCATCCTTTTCGTACGAATCGTGTGAATCCTTCGCCTCTCCTTTTTGCACCTTTGATCCTATCACCTACAATCGAGAGGAAGAAAGAAGTCTGGAGAGGTGACATCGCGATACGGGTGAGATACCTTTTTTGGTGCTTCTAAAAAAAGGACAGTACGACTTTGAATCGTTGAAGAAAACCGTGAAGTTTGCCCTGGGCAAAGATTATCCTAAATGAAAAGTGATAATCAATAACCTATTACTTATCTAAGTATAATCCATTTTTTCGTTGGACATTAACTGTTCACTCGGTATCGTGAGTGAAGTTTACGTATTCTGACAACCACGACGAGAAAATGTTTGCCCGTACCGTACCGAAAATATCCATTGGTAAGTCATAATTAACTTCAAAAAACCCCAATTGCCCCTTTCCAGTGTTTTCTGTGGAAAATTGTTAGCTATGAATCAGAAATAACCTATTCGTATCTCACTAGTCCGCTTACATTTATTTACAGAAAATTTATTAGAATTTCTTGTGAATGAACAGTTCAATCATATATTAGAAGAAAACCATGGTTTTGATGATGATTTCGAAATTCTACACATAGAAAATGAAGAAATGAGACTCAATCATTTCAAATCATTAGAAATCAACAAACTAAAAAATTTTAACATTATACTTGACGATCAATAAGACCTCAATAGTTCACCACTGTTGAATTTGTTTTCTTAGTAGGTAATAATTTGTATTTGCTATCAACCCTTTCAAGTTAATCCGGTACACCATATTTTAATGAAGATATTGTGCCTAATTTCCGAAAATGAAAGTTTATTGTACTTGTCCAACCAATCCTCCAAGTTGGGAAAGTAGGATATATGAAAGTTGAGCAAGCCAAGGTTGGTTTAGTTCACTGTACCAGTATATCACCTGGCGAAGCTACTGTGTTAGCAAAACATGTTGTGTGTTGGAGAATTTTGTGGAAATCTTATCATTTGTGAAGTTTTTACATTTGATGGTGAGTGGATTGAATTTCACTAATACACTAGTAGGCTAGCCATATTAGGAAAGAAACATGATTTTGCAGTTTGCAGGCGAAACTTTGGCCAGGACCTTCGTTTTTTTGACACTTTTTGCTCAAATTTCTGCACTTATTACAGATTTTGGCATGTATCTCAAAAATGAAGCGTTTTTTAGATAAACCTATGTACAAAATTAAAGAAGACCAAATTTACTAAAATTTTTATTGATAACGTTTTTTTGAAAGACTAACCATGCAGCCGCTAGAGCACGCCAAAAAAGTTACATCCACCGTTTTCTAGGTAATTGCCTTGCTATGATACTGTTGATCATGTATGATTCATAATGAACTCATATCGTGTATGGGTCGTCATGATTGCTGATGAGAGCGTCGATTGTCATGAGGCGTGGGAGAAAGGCATGAATAGGCATCGAGAGATGTGTTAACAACTTCAACTTTGGTGATGTCAAATTCCAAAGGAGTAACCGAGTCAACCTCTTGCCATAATGAACAATGCGATCAAAGTAGCCGACGACATTTTTCCTGTTAATCCGACCACACTGTTCTGAAGAATTACGATGAACAACTGGACATTTTCTTATTTTTCGAATTGGGTCCATACTCCTCCCTTTCTGAGAATGGTTGAAGAAGAGGAACCAAATCTTCTCTATACAAAGCATCTGTACCCATACAAGACAAGTTGTTCAACAGAAAAGTGCAATATTATTATGTTATCGACGGTATGGGTTCTTGTTACACCAATTTGTCTAGCCCGAGATGCAACACTTCTCTGCAATATGTTTTTCACAAATTCATCAAGCCAAAGTTGGTAGAAATATATCTATATAACTTATCAACTTAGAATAAATCCGAGATAGTATAAAGTTAAATGTAATTGTCATTTTACCTATAAATGTCACAAATATTTCGTTGTAACTTCATGCTCCTTACTCCAAGGAGGAGAAAAATTTCCGGAAATTGTTTTAGTTGCTGTGGTAACAATATGACATACAGGCTTTTAACTGGTCGAACATGTAAGGTATGGCATTTTCATTGTAACTGCTGATTTCACGGTATCACAAACTTCTATTTTGATTGACTTCTGTTTAACCATCAGTAAAACATTCGGTACATAACCGTTGGTGACTAGTCAACAGTGTTCTATGCTAGCTCCTATGAAAAATAAGGAGTACAGCCACGTTCACATAACTGAATCAGTGTGAATGAGCCTTTCCAGCCATTTCTAGAACAATACATATCGAAATCTATTCTCTTCAATACCTTAAAATAATATTTTGGGATTTTTTTTTCATCCATTCATCGTATAAAAACTATTGAAAACGCCAAAATGAACTAGCGAATTCGATCAGACATGGCCGCGAAACGTGTGACGTCAATGCATAATAATGGTTTGATAGTTGATTCATGTTCGTAGATTATTCAAAATTGTAAGTGGAATTTCATTTTGTATTGAATTACAGTGCAGTTATTCATGACATTCAGATCCAAATCCCTTTCAGTAAAGTACTTTCAAGTTTAGATACTCACCTCTATACCTATCTACCATAGGGAAAGGAACAAATTTTGAATCAATCAATACTAAATTGCTTACTTGGTTCTATTATCTATTGATTCTAGTACAAGCATCACTGACTTCTTGTCAATAATATTGAGAAATGAGAACAGTGAAGTTATACAAAGAATGGCAACATTGTGTTAGCTCCAGTTGTTTCATCTCTTTCTCTTGTAAACATATACAATTTTTTCCGTATGCAATTGATTGCTGCAATTTGTATTACAGGCAATAATAATTGCAAGCTGTTTTACACTGAATCGGAATGATCGACTTGTAATGTCATTTTTTATTAAGTTTTGAGTTGGGTAGAAGAAACCATGAGAACAGTAACATTCAATTTGCATCTAATGATGCATAAATAATGCATGCATAAGTACCGAATATCTACCATTTTATCACCAGAATTGCACCAGCAATACGAATTGCGTGCCACAATACGAATAGGTCCAGAATAATTTCCTGGAATGCAACGAAATATTGCGATTGTCCAAAATGACACTAGAGCGTAGGTGCGCAATGAAAATTGTAAAGCTGCTATAATAAGGAAAACCCCGTTGGTGACATCGTCCTGATTTTCCGATTTGTCGAAGGATGGTGGCGAGGCCAGAGCAGCAACACTTCCCGTCGAACTACACGCAAAAGGAGGGCGAGATCGACGACACGCTGCACACGTACTCGATGGCCGAGGACATGCTCGACATCGTTTGTGACGTTTCTACAAGACATAACTCTCTAGAGAATACTTTGATGGAATACATCTGCAATTCAAGTGCCAGATGGCATATTGGATAGCTAATAATGTTCCTCTAACGTCCAGTGATTTTTTCTGCTTTTATCTTCTGCGGAAAAGACATCACATTCTTACTTAGGACCTCTGTGGAACCGCTGACAAATCGATAATTTATAAGAGTATTTTTCGGATATAACGTCCGACTCAACCCGGCATAGGTAGCTTAAGACAAAAAATAGAACAATATTTATAACATGATGATACACCTATAAACAACAAAATTGTGAGAAATTCACTACTAATCATTATAAACTCATTATAGTTATTGTGAAGTACATTACAAAATGAAAATATCGTAGAAGACGAGCATGCAATAATCGTTATAAGAAAGGTCGGTTTGGTTGTTATCAATAGTTTTCTGGATGTTGTGTGATCAGTTTTCGTTGTATCAGTAAGTCATTTGATATTAAAAATCGGAAGCAGACTATTTTGTTGATAAATATGGGTCGGCAGTGTCAAATCTACAAAGATATGTAGAAATTAGGTTCATGTAGATCTTGTTTGAGGTCTTGTTTCTGTTGATGAAAAGCAAGTTTAAAATATTATCAAATAACCTTGGTTAGACGTTACAAAATGCCGCATAATTATTTTACAACACGTGAGAGTTAATTTATTATTGTACCTACACAAGATATCGATTCTCTGGCAATGATTCCGCAGAGTTATCCTGACCATTCGCGATTTCATTCATTTATCCGTGTTCGGCCTTAAGGATTGTTGACTTATACTTTTTAATGATTTATGAATGAATCGCGATCTCTATCAATTGTTTGCTTGAACTACTTATTGCTACATGTGTAAGCTCCAGCTGCTTGCCATTCACTGTAACTCCAGGTAGTCTTGAGTGCTGCTCTGTATCCTTTGTGAAGAACTTGGCAGTTTTGAAGATCTGATTTGGATAGATCCGGTTTGAAGGACCAATATGTTCGCTGCTTGATAGATAGTGGACTGTATTTGTATGGTTATATGATTTTAAAATAAAGATTGATATGAGAATTGCAATTCGTATCTATTGATTCCATCAATAAATCTCATGTTTCAACAACACGTCGTCATGTTAACAACAAATAAATAGGGTAATAGTGGAACTGACACTCCGAATTTTCGAAGGCTGGTGGCGAGGCCAGAGCAGCAACATTTCCGGCTGGTTCCCGTCGAACTACACGCAAGAGGAGGGCGAGATCGACGACACGCTGCACACGTATGCGATGGCCGAGAACGTGCTCGACATCGTGGTGGCGCTGTACTCGTTCTCCTCCTCCAACGAGCAGGAACTGTCTTTCGAGAAGGGCGACCGGCTGGAGATACTCGACAGGCCTGCAAGCGACCCTGAATGGTGAGTAGGGAGATTTTATTTGTGTTTTTGGAAAAACTGCATGATGTGAACGATTCAGTGCGTGGGTTTTCTGTGTTGAACCTAAAATGGCAAAGATTGAGCGTAAAAGAATTGACAGCCTAGGTATGAGTTACTAATCTCGTCAGGGTTGTGGGCTGCTGTTCCAGTGTTGCAGGGTAAAACTGTTGGCGACCAAAGGTGGGTTCATCATGATATCTGATTGTCTATTCCTCCCTCCCTTCTTCTCATTACCCTGCTACACTTAATTATCTTCTTTTGTTTATTCTCTTCTTCTTCTTCCTCTTCTTCTTCTTTTTCTTCGATCTGTTTCATACATGCTCAGTTCTCTTCATTTTCCATTCAGGTCAAATTTTACAATTTCAGTTCCTTTCAGTACTGACGGCAAACTGATGCTGATGTTTGAATAAAAACAATTTTTCTTCGAAATCATGTTCAACCTTATCAGGCCCAGTTTTTTCTGGCTTCTCAGTAAATTCAAAAAAGTTGCTACATATTCTTCCAACCCGTTGACGAAAATCGTTTGTATCAACCATGATTTATTGTTTTACATTTTGAGTTCCATATTGTTTGGTGTGATTATATAAATTGTTTTGTCCTCATTATTGTCATGTAATATTATTTTAGGTACCATTGTCTGATAATCGCCGTAGTGCCGAAACCGGTAACTTTTTAAGAAAGGTTTTATATCAAGTGTAGTCGAACGACTATGTGTTGTTTCTTTTTCATTTTTCTTTTGAAATTTCATTGGACCACTAAAATATGGATGATTTTCATGATTTATATTAGGGCGTGGTTGAGTTATTTAGTCACTCGTTACAATGATGTTTATCTCTCTCTTTACTAACTAAATATTATGTTCCAAATAGGATAGTAGGTGGCGCTACGTCTGAAGGAATGTTTACACTGGCGAATTCATGACTGTTTTATGATTTATTTCCTTTTTTAGTTCGAGTTTGTCCTCAGGATTCATGGTGACATATACAAATACGACGAACAAATGAAATATGATAATAATGTGACGGTCTCTCCACAAAGAAACTTCTCACCTTAACAATACATCATGAAGTTGTAGTATTGGGCAGGTTAGGTCTATATTGCCTCCAATACTATCCAATCAAAACGAAGGATTTCTAGGTTGGAATAGACTATAGTAGATGTCGAAGAAAAAACAGTAAAACACAAAGTCGTTCGACCACAAAAATTATATAAACAAATCATGTTTGTGACTAGTTCCAGCTCAACGGCCATCTTCAGACACATTAAAATACCTGTGAAGATTAGAAATTACAAACAATGAACTACTGAGGAAAAAACTCATCTGAGGAGACATGTGGAGATAAGCTTAACTAAAAGCTAGATAAAAATGGGAAGATCAGGCCGATAATCAAGTATATAGTCCTTTAAATCGATTATCTAGCCAAAAGAACAAATCAATGATGCAATTCAGAATCGGTAAGATTAGGAATTGATAATTTGAAATTATAAATCGAAATTCACTAAACAAGAGTTTCATCATCTGTGGTGGCCATTCACACAAGCAAAGAATTGGTAAAACATCATAAAGTGCAGAATGACATGACAAGATGACATGACAGAATAACATGACAATGACTGCCTGACAAGTAATACAAACCAAATGACACTAGTCGCAAACATGATTTGTTGATATAATTTTTGTGGTCAACCGACTTTGTGTTTTACTGTTTTCTCTTTGAAAAAATATTGGACCAATTTGAGAAGGGTGAATGTTTTTCCATGACTTATACTAGATGTGATTGACAAGATACTCAATGTGTCAATATGTCTGTTCTCATTTATTCATTATGTTCTAATACCGGGTGACCAGTTATATTCTGACCCATTTCAAATGCTTATATCTCTGAAACCATTCAAGTTATCGTTGTGCAGTTTAGACTAGTCTATTTTGATATTTTTCAAGTTTTTTTTGACAGGTTCACCTTCTCTCTTGAACTTCCGGTTCTACCGGAAACAAACTAGCCATTATTCAGGTATAGGGCAACTTTTTTATTTCATCGAAGCACCCTGTATATTTTTGCACATTCAGAAAGACTGGTCTTTTCTCTTCCTAACAATGTATAACAAGTTATGTTTTCTTAGAAAACTATCAGAGTTATAACTCTTTGAAGCATCTACTGCATATTAGGTTGTTATCCTGAAATGCTGAATTACCGTATATTGAGTATAAATCTGATGCAGATTTATGATGAGTTCATTTGCTTTTTCAGTCAAAGTAAACATTTTTTCAACTCGAAGAAAGTACAAATGCTCGACAATCTTTATTTGACACATCTAATCTGGCATTTCATGTGTTGTGATCAGGATTTCCAAAGACGACTTTGGTTACATTGCAAAATCAGAAAGACTGGTCTTTTGTCTTTTCTCTTTCCTTTCGTGCGCTCCAAGCGATAAAAAAAAACCATTCCACATGCAGTAGTTGTTTCAAACAGTTATAACTCTGATAGTTTTCTAAGAAAACATAACTTGTTATACATTGTTAGAAAGAGAGAAGACCAGTCTTCCTGAATGTGCAAAAATATACAGGGTGATTCAATAAAATAAAAAAGTTGCCCTATACCTGAATAATGGATAGTTTGTTTCCGGTAGAACCGGATGTTCAAGAGAGAAGGTGAACCTGTAAAAAAAAACTTGAAAAATATCAAAATAGACTAGTCCAAACTGCACAACGATAGCTTGAATGGTTTCAGAGATATAATCATTTGAAATGGGTCAGAATATAACTGGTCACCCGCTATTTCCATCTTTGGACATAAAACATCAATCAATTTTGCTAGGTACAAAGCGCGAAACTCCCAAGGTCAAATCGGCCTCGTCCCGCGCAACTACCTGCAAGAGCTCTCCGACTACATGGATCGCCCTCTGCAGGAGCGCACCAAGCACGGCGTCGGCTGCATGGAGACGTCGGCGTCGGAGCGACCGCAGGCGCCGATGCCCGACAAGCCGCACCTCGTCGACAAGCCGTGGTACTACGGCAGCATCACGAGATACGTGTGCGATAATTTGTTGAATCAGCACGGCCATGACGGGGATTTTCTCATCAGGGATAGCGAAACGAATGTGAGTACGATCGCGATAAGCTGCGACATGATTTATCGCCTGTAGTTTTTCCCATTTCCAGCTTTGATTAACATTATTTCGTCATGTTTACAGCCTGAGGAATCCATTTTCACTTCATATGACATGACGATAATAAATGTCTCTCTCTCTCTGGGAAACTTTCCCCCCAAGTTGAAAGTAGACGGTTTTGTTTGTGCAATTTTCAATTCAGTATCTCAAAGGTATGGTCTTAACAAAGTCATTCAAGGCAGCGAAAAAAAAATTCCGTGCATATGTCGGCGAATCCTTCGAGAATCTGCCGCAAACAGTGCCGAAGAATAATATTCTGTTTCGGTATCACGAATGGAAAGTTGTTTTCAGAATATTCTTGTATCATTCTAACAGAAACGGTTGAGATTACCTTTACCTTCATTTTGAAACATGATAGGTGAATTTATAAGAAATTGAACAGCCAGATCTGAGAAAATCTGACCACCCATGAGGTATTACCACGGGCCTGTTTGTTGGCTAATAAGTAAAATTAAAGGTACTTCAGCCCTATCGTCCCACATTCAAAATATAAATACAACATAGAATAAAAATTATTGACTATTATAAAAGTACCAATAAAACAGAAAATACATTTCCACAATTCTACATTTCTGCTATAATAATCACAATGCAATAATAACACTTCACTTAATAGTTATTGTACACGAAAACTGAAAAATGGGTATATGGTTTATCACTAGTCACTATCGGATTCTTCATAACTTGAGCCATCATTTACCCTAATAGTAACTAGATTGATAGGTGGTAAAATACAATATCCATGTTCTTTTGCTTTCACATGAGAAACGCAATTCCTAATTGCTCCATATGTAACTTCCATTTATCTCGTCAAGAAGATTCCTAATTCCTCCATATGTCACTTTCATTTATCTCATCAACTGTCCTTTTGCTGTTTAAAAACTGATCTGCTCAATTGCGATGATTGTTTTTTCCCCGCTTTTAATGGCAACCCAGACCATCTCAATGGCTTTGAAAATGCAGTGATATCGAGATAGAACAGTATGGCCGTGTGCCTCGAAGAATTGACCAATAGGCGAACTCCGCATGCTCGAGCTCCTAATCACTATCACTAACTTCGTTGGCTTCCCCGAAAGGACGCCAAAACACCATAATATTCTAATTGCAAATCAGAATATGGAAACACTGTGATTCAAATAATTCATTTTCAGAATTTTTTGAATTGAACCAGTAATTCGTACAAACCTTGTTCCAACGCACTGCCTCAATAAGTCTGAACACACGGAACGTCCACTAATAAAACTTGAACCAATCAAAATTTAGTATAATGGCGTTGTACACACTAGTCAAATTTACGCCACATACCTATTTAATATTGATCATTCCAAGTGTAAGATAGTATTTGTTGCAATCATTCGTTATTTAAAATCATTACAAATACTTTGAAATCGGCATCTTCGAAAAACCCCAGCTCCCGATGACGTCACAGACCATCTAACGTAGCAAATTCATAACTAGTAATTACATTATGAGATTCAATATGACCAACAGTCATATTCTCAGAAAACAATGGTTCCACCTGGTCCCTCATAATCACTTATCAAATACTTATATATCTTGCAAGATGCTTCAGTGCCAATAAGAATCTCCTAACATTCCTAATAATGATCGAGATTTTATTTAAAACATAACTATTTTGTGATCCTGGAAACAGCGTAATACTTACAAGTTTGTAAATAATTGTAACCCTAACTTTCCAACGTCATCCTTGTATGTCACCTTCATCTTCATAACCTATAATCATCTAGTAAAATCCAGGGTCACATCTAACAAATACTGTGAATATTCAAAGATAATCCTCTCGTATTTTTTTAACAAAATTGAACAATGAATTTGAGGAATTGGAAATGATTGAAATTTAATCAGTGGCGTAGAAAATATGAGAGGAAAAGTAGCCCCTCTGTAGGGCACCACAGGATGAAATGTCAGGAATGGCTTCCTGGTCAAAAAATGACCCATTCAAAGATGAAACCATAGTTGAATGCATTATATCCAATTATTCTTGAGATATTGCGAAACAACTATTTTTACTTCTCAACTTTAACGTCCTGTATCTCGAGAACTGAACACTTGAAGACCACATGACCCTATCTCAGTGATTATGAAATCACGAGGGCTATCACCTGTCGAGCGTTGTCGGTCGAATTTTGCAACTGTATATTTGTGGTAATGTCTGACTGTTAGTGCTTGTTATAAGTTGTCGAACCGTGTTTAAGATTAGTTTTGAACCGTTTTCAAGCGTGACGTAGTCATTTCTCTCATTCATGAAAACGGGCTGTTTTGTAGTGGAAGCTGTTATGAGTCAGATACATAACACATAACCTGAGAACCGAAATCAATAATCAGATTTTGGAATTGATGATTATCTGTGAGAACTTGAGAGAAGTGTAAAAGAATGGAATCACTACTAGTGGAATCTTTAATTGACAATCAGCAGATGAGGCAAGGTGTTTCTGTTTCACAAATGCTGGACCAGTCAATCAGAGAAATGAAATGAAATGAAATTCATGCAGGTAATTACATATTTTACATATAGGTTAAATACATAAATAAATAATCTTACAAAGGCAATTTCAAAGGCTGAGCTACCTAAGCAAAGCTTGAGTTGTAGTCATCAGCCTATAAACAACTTATACTGCTTAATATATAATTGGCTACCTATATATACAGTCGGGGAATAATCAAATAAACACCAATATTGAGGAAACAAAGAACAAAAAAATATAAATTGTACATAACAATGAAAATAGGTCTGGTGGACAGAGAGAGTGGTGAGGCTGAATTGTTTAGTTACTTCATAGTATTACCTTCAGTAAGATGTAAGATGAAATAGATAATAATCTGGAAATGATTATTCTTCTCGAAAACTTCAAGCATCCTGAAGTGAAAAATTATGCACCATACACTCATCACACTCCATTTTTAAGCTATATAGTCAATTTCTCGAAAATAATATTAATAACTTCAAACGCTCCAACCATCAAACTTCGTCGATTTCCCATTCCACTGGTTTTCCTGGTTCTGGTTCGAACACGGTTCGAACCGTTCATTTAGAAGTTTTTTATACCGGAATGAACGGTATTACTTGGTGACGTCATAACTTTCAGAAGAAAATGCTTGATTTCAAATCGTTTTGAACACGGTTCAACAAGAAAAAACAACTATAGTCTCCGTACTCAAGAACTCACTGTAAATGAGAAGATTCGGTACCCCTTTTATCGTTCGTAGATGGGCGACTACTCGGTGTCCTTGAAGGCGCCCGGCCGCAACAAGCACTTCCGCGTCCACGTCGAGGGCGCCCTCTACTGCATCGGCCAGCGCAAGTTCCACACGCTCGACCAGCTGGTCGACCACTACCAGCGCGCTCCCATCTACACTAACAAGCAGGGCGAGAAGCTCTATCTGGTCCGACCGCTGCCCAAGACAAAATAACCGCCAGGGCGGTCGAGTTGAACGGCCGGGCGGTCGAGTTGAACGGCCGGGCGGTCAAGTTGACCGGCTGGGCGGTCAAGTTAACTGGCCAAGCGGTGGCGAGGACTCGTTTAGAGGTGGTACTGTATGTGTGAGTGTTTTTTTTTCTATATTATGTTCTTCTGATTGAGGAGTTTCGTTTGGAGCATCGCACATAGTGGAACGAATTTCCGTTGACTTGTTTTTGTTAATTGCGAAGGAGAGTGCTGCCGAATGTTTCTATAGGATTTATATTGACAGTGTCTGAATGGGGACTGATAGCAAGTTTTAGCGACTTATTTATTTGGTAATCATGTGAAAACAAAACCGTTTGATAAAATCATTCGTCCCAAATCCAGTTTATTAGAATGGTTTCGTCTCAAATGAAGAAGTTTGAGTGATCAACACGACCGAGCCGGCCGATGCCCAAGACAAAATAATGACGGTCGCGTTAATCGGCGAGGACTCTAGGGTTTTCAGGTGGTACTGTCAGTGTGGGTGTTTGTTTTTTTTTTCATATTTTTTGTCCACCTGATGGAATCATCGACACATAGCGATCTAGAGTAGAGTAAGTCGATAATTTACATAGCTATCATGAATACAAGCTATATTACTTTATCTACTCACTGCATCGGAAGTAAGCGTTTGCTCCGTGGGAGGTAAAATAAATTTGCTTTAGCTTGCTTTCTTGGTAGAGATACGCGTATAAGATTGGTGCTACCCAAGTGTACCTAAACATACAGAGTGGGCCTTTGAAAACGAAACAGAGGCTCTGTAGGTCGCCAAAACCGGATTATCAAAAAAAAAAAACTGAAACAGATCAACGACATTTTCGAGGGGGACATCTTTCTAAAATATTTTCAGCCCTGCGGCGTTGCCGCTTCTAAAGAAAAGAAGCAACAACTTTGTTATTTCAAATGGAGCACCTTGTATTTTATTGCATTTTTAGATTCTCCCCGAAGAGCTGATTTCATCAATGCATCACACTTAGGGTCTAGCTGTAATGGTTTCAGGGATATAAAGTGTTCAAAATCGAGATTTTTCAACTTTAACATTTTTTTGTGTCGAAACTATTCATTATTGGTCAAAACGGCTCTCATGTCCCGATCTCAACTTGTGATTTACTATCTACTGACATTTATTTGAAACAAATACAGGGTGGTTCAAGATTCAGAATTCTGATCACCCTGTATCTGTTCCAATCAAATGTCAGTAGATAGTAAATCACAAGTTGAGATAGGGACATGAGAGCCGTTTCGACCAATAATGAATAGTTTCGACACAAAAAAATGTCAAAGTTGAAAAATCTCGATTTTGGACACTTTATATCCCTGAAACCATTACAGCTAGACCCCAAGTGTGATGAAAATTATTTTTGAACTTCAGAGATCTCATACACTGTCTCATATTCCAAACTTACTCAATCGAAAATTCAAATGAAATGCAATTACACAATAAATAAATTCAATGAGACAAAACTAACAGACGTGTCAAATTGATTTTCGTTCAAATACTGTCTGTAACCTTAGATCATGTAACATATTGATTTGTCTGGAGAGATAGACCACTTGAAGCACAATTTCAAGAATGACGCTTTCAGATATATGCGTTTGTGGATAAAATCATATATATATCTTGGGAGGAAATGGATACCTTTGCTCCCTTGATATATATAAATAGCTATTATATAACCACAAGTTAGGGATATTATTTTTTCAGTCCTTAATAATACTCTACCATTGAAACAAGCGATATGATATATATCGATCTCTATGGATTTCAAATTGGCTGTCATGGTTACTAACAAATCGAGGAGTCTCAGATGTGATTCAATTTGGTAATAAGGGCTAGCATTCTTACGCTCATTAGTTACTGTCACTGGAGCGTCAAAATTGAATTTCACGACTCTCTTTTTTTCATATTAGCAAAGAAAATAACTTGAATTTATTGCAGGAAGAGGCCAAAATGGAAGGAAACAAGTATTGTGGCCGATTTCAAGAAAATCATATGACGTTGCGATGACATTTAGCAATAGGGAAAACATGTCTGACTTTCAATCTATGCCAGGAATTGAAAATGTTTTCCCCATTACTAAACGCCAACGTTGGATGATGACCTTGAAATCCACCAATACCTCACGACAATAAACCAATCTCGTCCCTTATCGGTTTGACTGTTCTTGTCCTGACCTGACAAAATAGTGTTTTTCATTTTGTATACTGGGTGCTTGGGTGAAATCAATGTCTTCAAATTTCACATTTGCCCACTAATAATTCAAAGTGTTTTAGAATATAAGTAGAAAAAGATGGGATTAAAAAATCATGCATTGACCTTCCAACCACTGTTTACATTGTATAAATCCTAAAAATATTCGGCAGTTTTATTTGCATGACTCAACGCCCTGATCAAACAACGAAAAATAAACGATAAGATGATTTCCCAAACATTTTAGGTGTTGAAGGTAATAGCCATTAATTATCACTCTCCTATAAGGAAAAAGGAAACGTGAAATTTGTTCGAATAATATGTGTCTTCTCATCTTCAGTTTTCGCATTAATCATTAATCAATCGTATCTGGTCATATATAAATACTTTTTGTTTCATTTTGTAAATATTTATATTTGTTTAAGTTATTATAGTGGTAATAGTTTGGAAGCACAAACTGGAAATTTTTCGACATTACTCAGTGGTCAGATTGTTCAGTTTCATTTAAGAGTGCATTTTTATTATTATATTAAGAATGTTTGTGTGACAGTACTTTATTTTGTGGTAACTAGTGGAAGATTGACATAAATTTATAATCATCATCATGCTAGTATATTTTGGAACAAATGATTCACTTTTTCAAAGTAAATTTTCAACTTTTGTTTGATGTATTATAATCAAATGTAAAAATCTAGTCAATATGTATACTATCGCATAATGTCATTCTTCCCCATTTTTGAACAGTTTGACCACCTGGTTCTTTCGGATTGAGTGATTTATTGAGTGAGTTCAGCTTAATGTGAATCATAACTACTCAATAGTACTAAGAATATTAAGCTAGTGTTGCATCAAAATATTTGTCTTAGATAAACTACTAATACTAACCAGAAGAAACATTTTACAAAACATTTTTTAGACAAATTCAAAAAGAAAAATCCATGAACCCCTAGTTGATATATTCTAAAAATTTGAAGTGATATTTTGTTGGTGTACAATTTGTGACTTTTTTGTATGTATATGTTGGACATTTACGACATAAAAATCCTGTTCAGTAAGCATATAAAGATTTTGGATACTTTGATAATAACTCTTAGTAGGATCTCCCATCGCTGGAATGGACTCCTGATCGCCTATATGTGAAAAATACGCCAACATTAAACCAATAGGGCATATCTGCATCTTTCAGAGATCGTTAATGCGCATGTCAGCATTCCATAAGGCGGGCATTTTGAAATCGTATAACTGCAATTGCTACTCGACTTTACTTACAATGAATATGCTGATTTTATGGATCAACAATAAGAGCACTAATGGGGTAGTTAACGATCTCATCAAGGAAATATTATTGTAAATTTCATGTCAGGGTGTAGGTAATTCATAGAAAACGTGTCGAAGAATAATTTGACTAGTTGTTCATAAAATCATTCAGAACGAGATGGTTCATTTAAGATGAACACCTCACATGACCTCACATTCTTCTAGCCTATAGCAGTTGATCCACTCAGCTAACATCAACTGTAAATCATATAAAAATCAGATATTCCTACTGTGAAAATATAAATATGTCCTTTCCAGCCCCTGCAGAATAATTTTCGCGAAATATGCAGCAGTATACCATATTGCAGCTTTTCATTCTATTGTCAGCTGTATTGTGACAGATGTAAGATTATCGCCTTACGTCCGTGTTAAAAGACTGATTGCGTCTTCGTTGGTTGGAAGTCAGGTAAATGTATGTGCAAGTCCAAAATTCATCTATCACCTAATCAATGTGAAGTTTGAAAAAAATTTGTGAATGACATAAGACTCCTTCATCTCTACGCCGGTATCCAGGCCGGATGAAAACGGATTTGTCGAATGAGGGATCATACAGAGAGTCAAACGTGCTCCATTATCACTACGTCGGTACCCAGGCCGGATGACAACGGATTTGTCGAATAAGAGGAGTAAATACGATCGAATCTTATGAATAATGATTGAATCGGCTTCTGGCCATGGTGATGGGTAAGCGGTGTCCTAGTGGTTGAGTCGAGTGATGATTCAATTAGATAATCAAGTATAATTCTTAAAAAAAGCTGATCTGAGAGGAGGCAGAAATCCAATAAACCTAATGAAGAAGATATAAGTTACCTGTCTGATTGAGGATACCCCTAACCGTTCTAGCAGTAGGAGGCAATATTTGAGTTCGAGAACGGCATAATACATCCAACTGCACTCAATTTCATAACCAGCATTTTCTTGATTGATGTTATTCAAGGGTCATAACTTCCGCCTTATAACTTTTTCCACTCGTCGCACTAGCTCGAACTTTTTCGGTACTAAGTGCGTTTTTCGTGGTCCACTGAGAATTTCAAGAGCGAACTTTTGTCCAGAAATGATTTCTACGGGCTTTCAAACTTGCTCGATGCCCGCTCAGAGTTCGAGTTTTCAAAACTGTGCTTCTACGACGGTGCGATACACATAACCTCAAATATTCGAGTCACGAGTGGAAAAATGTTTGGAATTTGAATACTCATGAATGTCTCAATGAAGTTTCTTACCATTATTACAATAATTTCCGAAATCATAGTTTCTTCGCATTCAAGCGATGATGATGAAATGATGATTGAGATACAGAAGTATTTCGTTACGAAACAGCGTTTACGGAAGATTCAAAATTACCTAAAAGTTAAAGAAAGCTATCCAGATGTGCAGGTATTAAAAACATATTTAATTGTTGATTCAGCAATGATGAAAAATACTAACTTCGTGAACGACACTTCAATGCTACATCACTACAGTCGAATGATTAAATTAAACATCATTAACAATGAACATTCATGACTGTTTCTGGCTGGTTTTTGGCAGTGTTCAGCGGGAAACCGAAATAAGAGGTAGATGAATCCATTTCATGTGGACCAACGGAACCAAATGTACTTTCAATAATTCAACATTCTGATTGATTGATTGAGTTAGAACCAACTCTCTATTTCTATTCTTCTGCTCTGTGCTGGAACCGAACTTTATGGAAGAACCGAGACAGTGCCACTTGTACTTGCTCTGTGCTAGTGCGCTCTGTATATCGGCGTGTGGAAAACGCTTTTAGTTAAAATGCGAATATTTGTTATCCTTAAACCCATAATATTGGCGTGTTTCTTCTTTTACTATTGGCAGTCCATATAAGCGAAGTGAGAGCTCTGAATCCTTCAAGTAATAGCTGGAAGTTTGAGGCTGAAACCCTTTTTTTTTTTTCAACTCATAACATTTATATGTCCCCAATCTACTATATCAGTTTAACTAAACATTTTTCGTAGATACTATACTGAGTGACCTTGAAAATTGAAATTGATAGCGACACCTAATAGAATCGAAACGATGAACGATTTTCGTACACTTCATTTGATCTGCTGTTTTGTTTCAACGCCTTTTCATTATTGATTTTTCATGTACCTTGTTATACAATTTATCATCATTCGACTCTATAAATGAGCGCAATGTCAGTGAATACAAAACAGTGTAATATATCAATTTTGTTTGTTCCATCCCAATCCTGTTTCATCATGAACTGGTTCTGGTTGAAATACCATTTAGTGAATTGTTGGACTAATCAACCAGGATTGTATACTTGCTTGGTGTATCATCGAAAAAAAAAAAATGTATATCTGAATTATTAAACCATATCATGTGATGATTTTCTTTCATTTACTAATATTTTTTAACAAATATAATTTCATGTTTGGAGAAAAGTGTGATGTGATGATTTTACATACGGTTGCGCAATGAGGACTAGTAGAACGTTTTTTACGATGTTTGTAAATGTTTTAAGAAATATATACATAACGTAAGGTTTCTAACAAAAACTTTTAGGTGAATTCTCGTCAGAGTTTGAGTTGTAATCCTTCATGTGAATTAAAAAGTGTCAACTGACGAAAGATGAGTTGATTATTTTTGTAACTTCCGTATATATTTTGTTGATTTTTCAGAATCAGTAACTGTGATTCTATTTGTCATTTGAATTCGCATGTATCTGTATCAACGTAATTATTACCTTGAATTTTAATTTGTATTCAAGACTGATTTTTAATTCTTTAGTATTCTCTGAGTTCGAAAAATGTAAGATAAAAACCATGTTTTAGGTTAAAATCAAACTCATATTTATCATCTTGCAGTTCATTGTGCTTTTTGAAAAAACAGTAGAATTCAACAACCTAGCCAAAAAGTATTTGATATTATTTCCCTGTAATGTAAATTATTTATGTATAATATTAAGAATTATTGTTGATTCTACTGTTTTCTTTCCGTTTTGTGATACAAAGTATGAAAATCTGAAGCAGTGCAATGTAAAAACACTGATCATTTATTTCTGTCCAAATTATTTTGAGAGTGTATTTTGATTTGATTTTATAGCCATAATTATATAGCGATATGGTTAGTAACATAGTAAATTGAAGCTTATGGACGCTTTGCAAAGGAATTCTGTCCCTAAAACCTAAAAGAAGTGTATATTATACATCAAACTGTATGTCGAAACAGTATGTGGATATTTCTCAATATAACATAATTATTACATTTGATATGTGGTATTTTTTCGAACATAATCTCATTACAATTTTTCTTGATTTTTACCATGTCAACATGCAGTCACAGGGCGTTTGAAATTTTTCTTGAATTTACCATTTTCATACTCGGATCTTGGGAGTGAATACCATGGTTCTATTTATAATAACAGGACAGGAAGCAATGTTCAGAAGAATTTTTCTTCATTGGTTCGTCTTCTCTTCATATGATTTTATTACTATAACGTACAAACTATTAGGTACACTGCTGCCCAATAAATTCGTAACGACTCTTGGCCGAATTGAAATATTTTTGTCTAAGCACATGTACTATTCATGGCCTAGAAACGAACTGTCTCCCTTATTAGCATTTTATGACCTGCTTCGCGCTGTAAAGGTATTATATAGGGTATACCCTTAGTTGTTTAGTTGCGTTTATGTATCCACCATCATCATACATAACAACATCGCTAGTGTAAACTTGCCTCAAGTCTAGACCAATGAGAAGCGAGGTCAAACAGCGGCTATATCATTACACACATAGATAAACTACACTCTCCTAGATGGCCATCGCACATGTTAACCTCTTGTTCCATTTTCGCCATCAGCGCCTCTGGTGTTTGGTGGTACAACTATTTCAAATAGCGGGAATTTTGAATAATTCATCATATTTTCAAATATTTTACATGAAGAGAAGCTTTCCTAAACATTGAAAGAGATGAAATATCATAAGCACTTTCATCTTTTTCCACAATTTACAGACGCTGAAATGAAAATGGTCGGTGAATGAGAGCAAGTTATCTAAATGTATACTTTTTTAATTAGGTCATACATAAACACCTTCAATGATCACAATGAACTTAACAATTATCACAGGATATTCAAACACTGTATCCTCTTCAGAAACCTGATATTGTCTCCTAAAATTCGGAGAACGATGTCAGGAGCGAAAATATCAATCTCACGTCCTGCCACTGCACCAAAGTCCAGTCTCATCATAAACTTCACTATTTTCGATTGAAAAATGAAGAAATGTCCATAAATCGAGAATCTTGCACTTTGAAACGAAAAAAAAAAACATTTCTAGACGGGAAAAAATCACAACATTCAAGACAAAGGAATGTTAATGGCCATTCGTCAAATAATATACGAACGCCATTTAGAAATCAATGCCTGCGCGCTATGACATATCACGGATCATTATGTCATATTATGGCCATCTATTGTTTGGTGGCTAAATTAGAAAATGGAACAAGGTCGGTCCATTGAAGTTGGAGGTCTATAGAGTGTAGTTTGTTTATGATTTTACACACTTCATTCTTAACTGGAATATATTATGATATAGCAGTTTGAGACTTGAACACAAATTCCATTATTTTCCGCTCTGGATAATGAGAAATATTGAGGTGTAATTAGAGGACATTAAAGGTACCCCAACATCACGAATATATGTATCTTTATATTCTTTATCTCATGCAGATCTCATGTAATCAGATATAAAAAAAACATGTCAAATTGATGCGATGGAATTAACGTAAACATGGTGAGGTTATTATTCATGATCAAATTCAATGAATCAGTAATATATTTTATGAATAAGTATTATATTTCAAGAACATAAATATCACTCAAATTAATTAACAAATATCAATACATACGGGGGAGGATTAATTTCATGTTATATTACTAGCACTGTAACCTATGAAATTATCTCTCCCTCTTCAGTATGAAATATAAATGCTAGTTCCTGTTTAATCCACTTTCAAAGTTGACAGAACCAAGTGAACATCAACTCTTGATTCTTGCTCATTACAGTTCACATCCCTGTATGAAGTTTGGGGTTTTAATCAAATTTGTCTTCAATGTCTTGGTCCATGCTTTCGAGGTCGATGGTGTCTTGTCGAAATGTCTCCACTTCGGCTTGGCTATCAGCATGTATGAATTTTCCTTTTGAATCAGGCTGTGAAGATGAATCAAATTATTATACTCATCTATTTTGAGGTTATCAGTGATTGGTTTCATTATTTGGGAGAAATCAGACCTACAATCTCTGCCTACATATACTTATACTAGAAGATAAAATAGTTATTTCTCTGACAGTATTTCAGAAATTGAACATTCCACAACGTCGAATTGTTTAGAAACAAACTTGATTCTGATCTTATGTGTTGAAATGAATATTTATTTCGTCGAACTCCGAAAAAAAAATGACATTCTACGTACTAATTTACGAAAAAAAAATCGTGTCCGCAAACACCAACTATTGTCCGCAAATGTCCGCTGTGGTTACTATGATATGGCGCGGTGTGAGACCGGCGATTGAGTTGACTGCTGTCAACTGTCATTTGTCCGATACATTTTACGTGTGCATAAGACCGTAGTGTGTTAGAGGTCGACGAAAAAATTTAATTCGCACCTCGGCAAAAACCTGTCTATTCTGATTGCTAGCCTTGACTGGACATCGGCTATCAATTATTAACAGACACGATTATAATAGACAGTAACACTATTCAACAGACTTGGGCTACTGGACTGGTAGTGTAATTGACATTCAATACTCCATTGTGTCGATAGAATCATCACTCAAATACCTTTCAATTTCATATTTTTATAGAATTCTTCGTTTGAATTTGAGATGCTAAAATCAACAATAATGCCACGGTAATTCTCAAACGGCTAGAAAATTTACCGCAAGTAAAAGCTGACGTCACGATTTCGTAAGTAGGGGCAGGCCATAGCACAGTTGCCATATTTTGAAATACGATGGGAACTTCAGAAATATTAGTCATTCAATAATTCATTAATTCTCAATTTTTTATTAGTTATATTCCTAATTAAACAACAAATTTCAATTGTCTCAAAATATTTCCTCATCTGTTCTGGCTTATTGCTTATAATACATTTGTGTTAATAATATCATCATATTGATTCACACTAGAGGACATTTGAGGGTAATTGTGACAACTCGGTGCACGAATTGTGGGCGGTGCCTTGTCAGTTCGAGATACACCGTTTTTACCCTTGCAAACTCAGCCTCTACCACTTAGCGATCTTAGTTGTAATATCGTCTTTCTTTTCCAATTGGTTTCATCCTACTATATTTCTTTTTACTTTTTACCGTTTTCAAAGGCTTCAGGACTGGTCTATAATGACTGTGACAATGGGGAAGACCACTGAGGGAAGATATCCGTGCAAACCTCTTTCAATCGACGAATCATGATTTACGTTTGATGTACAATCAATATTATGAGTTGAAGTTGAAGAGAATCGAATCTGTAGCGTTTTGAAATCAGCATTCATTCGATATTTCCAAAAGCCAAATATGAAGGTGGAGACGTGACGTATTAGTCCCGAACTGTATTCTATCTCTCTCTGATACCTTGCCATTCTGCAGTGTGGCAGTGAGATTGGTCAGCTCAAGGACAATAGGCGTGTTGGGACTAATACGTCGCACCAGTCACACCAATGATTTGACACCATTTCGAATGGCGCAGGAATTGTGTGTTTTGGAATAGACATATTCTAATTTATTTTTTTCATCCTCCTAGCATGAATGGAATAATTCAAAATTGATTCACTGGTAGTTTTTCAGTATAGAGTTCAGGATGATGTTTTAAAAAATCAGTGATCTTACCCATTCCAAAAATAGCAGAACCGTTTTGAGAGAACAGTTATGCGATGTTTTTCACCTCTAAATGAATAAGAAAAATTTTCCTACCAGCCTTCGAAATTTTTGAAAAATTCAGTGAAAGTACTACTTACACCTCTAACTAGCAGTGACTCTGTTCATTTTATATCTGAATAGTTCACTTATAATACATATTTAGTTCGAAAGAAACCTGGATATACCTTAGGATGCATCAAAACAAACGGAAGTTCTGCAGCTAACTCCCCTCCAAGCGCTCCTAGGTAAAGTTTAACTTTTACTGCGTAAGATACAACGATGCCAAATGCATCACGTTGATCAGGTGACGACAATCTGAAAAAAAAAAAAATTATTTCCTACTGATCATCACAAAGTTATTAGAGCGGTGGAAGAATTGCCAATGAAAATAACTTTGAATGCCTACTTACAATGTTGTTGAGGCCAAGTGGGTATCTTCTTTCTTCAGTTGGCCATCTAATGCAATCCCTCTACGATCCTTATTCGATGATAACAGTGGAAGCAAGTAAACCACTTTTTGTAGGCAAGATCCAGGCTGAATCGGACATCCTTCTCTGAAGTGAAATTGATCAGCCATTAAAAATATTCAAGCGGACATTATAGGGATTCCAATTCGGGCGCATCAAGCCATAAACAAATCTAAAAACTATGTTATATTTGGAAATATACATGAGTACGGATAATCTTGTTGAATAAACATGTTAATATACAGGGTGGTCCAACGAAAACTTTACAACTTGATTGTTTGGCTTTAAAATAGAGATCCGGAAAAACGCTCGGAACCGTATCGATGATGAAATGAGAGATGAAATAGTGAAAGAGGCAATGATGAATTCACCTCGTAAATATTATTCCTGTCAGAGTAGGATTCGAATAGCTATTTATATATCAAGGGAGCAAAGGTATCCATTTCCACCCGCCTGTGAATCGAGGTAATGATAACCTTTGCTCCCAAGATATACAGGGTGTATTTAAATAGTACCGAAAAATTCAAGGAATGATTCCTTGTGATATTCTAGCAAATAAAGTTCATATAAACATGTGTCCTAACTTGCTCCGTTTTTGAGATACAGGATGTTGAAGTTGGAAGTATTAATTGTTTTTATTTATAACCCCTCTGTATAAGCTTTTATGGTGCCAAAATTCAGTATGGTTGGGGACTGAAGAAAGTCCCAAAATTTCAAAATGATTCTAAGGGGTTATTGAGTAATCTCAATGGAAGTCTTGAAAACACGCCTACATTGAAATTTGGAGCCAAATCGAATTTTTATTGTTTCCTCAAAAATTAAGCTAGATACAAAAATTACATAAATGATAAAAAGTTGTTATTTCAATAGTTCAATCTGATAAAAATATAAAACTCAGAAAAACCGGTGGCGTACAATGACATTCAACATAAACATCGATAAATTTACCCACTGTGACGCCACTGGAAATATTACCTCGAATCTAATTACACCAGGAGAAGCCTCATATTACTATCAACAAAAGCACAACGTTTTATTGGAATTGATGAAAAGACAACTGAGTAGGATAAAAAAAAACGATTTTTCATGGAAATATTAATACCCTGTATCTTGAAAACGAAGCAATTTAGGACACAAGTTTATATGAACCTCATTTCATTGAATACCACAAGGAATCACCCCTTGATTTTTTTCGGTGTTATTTAGATACACCCTGTATATATATAATTTTATCCACGAATGCATATATTTGAGAGTGTCCCTATTCTAAATCCGGAGGTTGTTCTTCTTCCTGGTAGCAGTATAAACAAAGTAGACAAGTCATTCCACCTCGAATCAGAAATCGACGGGTCCGAGCGTTTTTCCAGATTTTCATTTTATAGTCCTGAAATCGGGGTGTAACGTTTTCGTTGAACCACCCTGTATTTGTATATAATGAATTTGAGGAGTATATTTATTTAAATGAATCAAAAGTAAATTGTATACTATCAACATGATGGAACTAAAATGGCGTCACTACTCTCCAAAACATGTAGACCTCAATATAAGGTTATAGTGGGAGTTGCCTGGCGGTAAAATCAATTCTGATTTATATGTCTGACATTGACAGTTGAACAGATCTAGCATTGTCCTTTCATTTATTGTTTATATGTTACTGCTAGTCTCGCCAGAGGTACAAAATTGATTGGTCCTGTGACCTATTTTTTCAAATAAGCTAACAATACCGAAATTATAAGCACAGAGCTCTGGTGTGCAATCTTTGATAATATATTATTCCTTTAGTGAAGTTATACCTACTGAGTTTCGATGCTTGCTACCGAAGTCCGATATTGGCCATTTTGGAATAATACGACATCTACGCCTTGTTGTATCATTGCTTTTATTTTCTTCACCACTTTGTTACTATTATTTCGAATACAGATGTTCACTGCAATCTTTTCTCCATGATGATATAACTGAAAATATAAGATAATATATGTTGAGATTAGACAAACATAACTGAATAATGATAGGGGTTGAGTTGAAAAATCGCTTTTTGCTGTTACTCCGCCTATTCACCATTGCAGATAGGTATAAGGTTTGGCAATATAACTTTGATAATTTTTTTGTGCGATTTTTTTTCTGCAAATGATGAATGAAGACGATTTATTTATTTTTATCATACCGGGTGACACAGACTCATGGTATATCCTCCTTTTTTTCATTGGTTTTCTTGCTATATTTCTGAAATTTGGAACATCGAATATGCTCACTAGAAGGCACCTTCTCACATTTAAGGATTTTTTTTCATATTTCGGTTTTCCTGGAAATGACATCAACTTTCGACTTTTAAATGGAACACCCTGTATATCATTCCATAATCACTTAGAGATTATTATAACGAATTCAACAATACCGGGTTTGATTGGGTTATTTCAGACGGTTACGGAGATATTCACGTCCGGAGTTTCCATAAGCTCAAAGGGAGTGACAGTTCAATATCGAATCTTCCTTCCCTGTTACACTCATGAAATAGTGCCCTCTAGTGAGTATATTCGATCTTTCAAATTTCAGAAATATATCTAGAAAAACAAAGGAGAAAAGTGGGGTGTACCATGAGTCAGTCTCACCCGGTATATAGAAACGTGATTTATCAAACTAGAATACTTATTGATACGGTGTGTATGTTTCTCCTTTATCATGAAATTCAGAAACAGTTGAATAAATATAGTTCTAAAACGATGTACGATAATGGTGTAGTTCAGTATTGAAGTATCTGTTTTATTTTTTGAATAACATATATCCTTAATCGAACCAGTGAGCAGTATTTGTTGTACACTGTTTTGGTTTCCTTCACCTGTTTGTTCATCATAAACTGCCAGAGATATAGCCTCTATACACGAACATCCTTTTTTTATCTCCAAAACCGAGAATGAAAGTCAAATGGCAAATTACAAAGCATATTCCAAGCGGAAATTCACCCTATAGGTGTACAGTTCAATCTAGAAAATGCCATGAAGTCTAATACCGAAGTGAGGTCGACCTTCACCCATATCTTTATTGTATGAAAATTATTTTATTGTAAGTAATTCAGCACGTTGAATATAAAATAAATGGGTTGCCTGAAAAAATCCTGGCCAGGCTATAATTAATTGAAAATTCGAAAATATATATTTTTAAATTTCTATCGATGAGTTGAATGAAAAAAATGTACACCAATCATAGGTACTAAGCCTATTGAATATGCAAACATAGGATTGCCTATATTTATCCAGAATTTGTCACACGCGCACGGAAAAATTCCCATTTCCAGACTCGTAATGAAATATATTATAATCGAAAACAAAATTCCGTTTTTTTGACAACTTTGTTTTCGCCATTTATTGTTTTATCATGACTCGTGCAATACCCCATTTCAAGGATATCTCCAATTTTAGAAACACCCTGTTTTTTAGTCTAATACAATACACCAACCACTCACCTGTTTGTCCAACGTGACCTCCAACTCGAGCTCCCCCGGACTCATCATGAAATCCTTGCGCACGACCGTGCAGGGCTGCCTGCCCTGCTTGGAGGGCGCGTACTGCACCTTCCTGATCGCCATGGTAACCGCACCTCTCTTGTGGGTGCGGTCGGTCTCGCTCTCTCCCACGAACAACTTCACGTAGTACTGGACGCCGCAGGGTTGCCCCTCGTCTGTCTGCCCTATAACGCGATGAATCGTAATTCTGAGTCCAGCCGTAGGATCAAGTTTTTTGAAACATTTTGGAAATCAAGATATGTTTCTCCTACTTTAATGCGAATTCGGTTTGAAACGGTTTGCCTAGATTTAAGTCTACCGAATAGAATTGCTGTCGATTTGTTGGCATTCAATTTAAGGTTGTGAGCTATGGAGATATTGAGGAGGGCGTCGAGGTCATCATTAATAAAATTTTCAGAGATGTCTATAGAATCGACATCAAAAGGAAGAAACAGCTGCGTATCGTCAGCGTAATGATGTATGGTACAATTATGAGTGAATGTGAAAAAATCGGATATGTATAAGGAAAATAGAAGGGGTCCCAAAATCGATCCCTGGGGCACCCCTTGGAAAACAGGCAACACGTTCGACATCTTATCATCCAGGATGACTTTGTGGCTGCGGTCACTAAGGTAATTGGAAATAAGCTGGACGGCATTTTCAGAAAATCCGTAATACTTCAACTTCTCACATAGAAGGATGTGATCCAAAGTGTCGAACGCCTTACTGTAATTCAAGAGCCCCTAACATGTTACCTTGCCCAAATCGGTGGCCTTGAAGATATCATCAGTAATTGACGTTCCCTGATTGGGAAGATGTTATGATGTTATGTTTAAATGCATAATCACTTATTTGATCTTTGAGGATTATTTCAATAGTAGGTAGAATACTTATTGGACGAATATCTGAAAGACATGTAGGCTGATCGCATTTAGGGATAGAAATTATTAAAGCATGTTTCCAGGCAGATGGGTATTGAGCAGAAGTGATTATTTTATTGAATATGAAAGTTGGGTGTTTTATCAAATAGTCTTCGACTAGGAGGATAATTTTTTATCTCAATACGCACTCAAGGTAAGCTTTCTTCCCAACGGATTGCACTTGTTAAGTAGCTGTTGTAGCTGTTTTATTATTCTTGTATTTCTGCAGAGCTCGATTCCTAAGTGTGATCATTTGTTTTATATTTTAGGTTAGCCAGGGAGCAGGAGGTTTACTCATTTTTTTTCTAACTGTAGAAGCATGAACAAAGAAAATTGGGTGATAATATCATTCAGATATTGAATCATGTCCTCAACATCATGTGAAGAATAGATTTGATCCCAGTCGACATTATTCAAATCGTAGTAAAATTGATCCAAATGGAATTTAGAGAAATCACGATACGTTATGAACTCGATATTATTTTTTGAGACGAAAGACTTAAAACTGCAAGAGACTGCTAGATGATATGATAGTCCGCGTCCAAATTCAAATTCACTTTATTTTCCTTTTTGAACAGCAAGTACACTGTATTAGGTTCGTCATACGTTAATACATAATGAAGTATGAATGAATAAATGATGAATGAATAAATGATGAATGAATAAATGATAGATGAGAGAATGAAGCTACAAAAACAAAATGGATACAATTAAAAGTAAAAGTAGAGACATAGATACATATCAGAGGAGGGCATCTCTGCTCTTCATAAGTATAAGGAAATCTTCCACATTGTAGAGAGGATTCGCTGTTAAAAAATTTTTCAGCTTTGTTTTGAACAAGTTGAATCTCAAGTCACGAAAATCAGAGGGCAATGAATTAAAAAGCTTGACACCTATGTCATCACATCTTCTTAAGCGTGTGAGGGGCAGTATCAAATTGTTGTTTTTCCTGGTGTTGTGTGAGTGAACATCAGAGTGTACCTTATAAGTATTTAAGTTGCTCTTCACTTCTACTAATTTCTCATATACAATTAGAGAGTAAAGTGTCATTAATTGGAGTTCCATAAACAGTGGTTTGCTGGAGACCTCTCTATTCACATTCAATATACTTCTTATGGCATGTTTTTGTGTCAGGAAAAGTTTATGTAGATGTACTTGGGAAGCTGAGCACCAGACATTTAATCCATACCTGAGGGTAGATTCAAAAATGGAATAGTAGGTCATTATGGCAGCTGACTTGCTTATACATTGTCTCACTTTTTTTATAGCATAGATCGCAGAATTTAATCTGCTGCATAATTGTGTTATATGGGTACTCCACATGAGCCTTACATCAATGTTTAACCCTAAAAATTTTGTGTAAGTATCTGCATTGCGGATGTCATCGATTTTAGTTATTCTGGATTCAAATACTAGTGTCTTAGTTTTTTTCTCGTTCAGAACTAATTGATTTGGGACGAACCATGATCTTGCAGATTCTAATATTTCCTTCTGGATAGTTGTTGGGTCCTCTCCTCTTTGTACATTAATACCAAAAGTGGCGTCATCCGCATATAGAACAGTACCTATTTTTTTATTCTGGAAAACATTTGGTAAGTCATTTATGTATATTAGAAATAGCAGAGGACCCAACACCGATCCTTGGGGTACACCTCTAATTATCTGTTGGGGTCCACTTAGCTCATTTCCTATCATAACTCTCTGATCTCGATTTCCCAGGTATAAAGCAATTATATCAAGGGCTACACCCCTGATATGATAATATTCTAATTTCCTAATTAATATGCCATGTTCAACACAGTCAAAAGCTGCACTTAGGTCAGTAAAAACTCCAAGGAAATTCTCATTGTTTTCAAATGAATTTTTCAAATCGACATCGTCGATGCCAAAAAGATACTTGCGAATGAATGAACCAACCTTCAATGACGTTAATAATGACAACATTACATATATGGTTGTTAATCAAAAACATTCTTACATCGTCTGGGGTACCTATAACAAAAATCCTCCTCACCTGGCTGAAGGGTGACCGAAGCCGGCGCGCTAGGTGGCAGCGCGAACGTGAACGGGTAGCAGTTCTCCCCCAACTTCTTCGTCAGCCGGTCCTGCAGGCGCGAGTTGGCGTGGGCCCCCTTCTCGGGCGGATACACCTGCGCCGAGGCCAGGAACAGGTCCTTCTGGAAGTTCAGCCCCATCACCTCGTCCTCCTCGCGGCCGTACCGGAAGCTGCACACCACCTGGCCGAAGATCTTTCGGTCTTTGTATTCGTTGTCGATCACCACCACGCCGTCTATAGGCGAGAATTTACATATAATGAAGAGATTGTGTGTTTCGTGTAACATTTATTATAAAATCGCAGCGCTTTCGGCTAAAAAGCCATCATCTGACGAATATGTGTCAGGCTAATTAAGGTTAAGGTCCCTCGTGCTCTTCCAAGACATGAACTAATCAATTTTGAAATGTATTTTCGAAAATTTTACAATTACCCATTAGGAAACTTTTTTGTCACCGTTCTTGTCGTCTACGTCACCCACCACGCGTACATTATGAGGGCCTTTATTTCTGGGCTCTTTGGCGCTTTTCAGACCTGCTTCGCATATCTCGGGCGCCAGATTTTCAATTAAGGTGATTTACTTCACCTACCCCTACAAATGTAAAAACTTCACAAACGATAAGTTTTCCACAAAATTCTTCGCTAACACAGTAGCTTCGTCAGGTGATATACTGGTACAATGAACTAAACCAACGTTGACTTGCTTAACATTTATATAGCCTACATTCCCAACTTGAAGGATTAGTTACCTATGGATAGGTTGAATAAACCTTCATTTCCGGAAATTAGGCACAATATCTACATTAGAATACGGTGTGGATTAACTTGAAAGGGTTGATAGCGAATAAATATTATTACCTACTAAGAAAACAAATTCGAAAGTGGTGAACTATTGAGGTCTAATTGATCTTTAAGTAAAATGTCAAAATTTTCGAGTTTGTTGATTTCTAATGATTCAAAGAGTTTCATTCCTTTATTTTCTACGTGTAGAATTTCGAAATTATCATCAAAACTATGGTTTTCTTCTAATATATGGTTGGCGTATGTTGAATTTGTTCTTAAAAAAAAAATCATTTTTTGTTCATGAATGCGCTGATTGAACGTACGACCTGTCTGACCGATATATACCTTAGGGCAAGATCCACAGTTGAGTTTGTATACCCCTGATTTTTCGAATTTAGAAGTGTTGTATTTATTATTTTTGATAAACCTTCCCAACGTGTTATTTGTTCTATATGCTACTCTCAAGTCCTGTTTATGTCGAAATGAAGCTAATTTTTCAGTTGATGATCCGAAATAGGTTGAAGTTCTATAATTTTGATTATTATTCTTGATGGTAGGATAAACTACTTGAATAGCTTCATTATGAAGTTTTTTAGAAAGAATACTGTCGTATCAAATTAACGTTGTATCCGTTGTTGACTGCAATCTGTTTTATGATACTGAATTCTTTATGAAATTCACTTCTGAAAGAGGGATATTCACTAGCCTGTATATCATACTATATTATATGCTGCAATTTTATGTTGATAAGGGTGTGTTGAATTATTATGAATAGTGATATCAGTGTGGGAAGGTTTATGGAAAATTGAAAAATCATGTTTATCATTAATTTTACTCATTGTCAAATCTCAAAAATGGAATATTGACGTTTCTGTTTCTATTTCCATTGTGTATCTTATGTTTGGATAAATAGTATTAATGAATTGGTGAAAACTATTTTATTTCTGACAGTGACATTATAAGCTTATATCGTCATAGTTACGATATCTATTATGAGGGTCATAACTCCCTTGGGATGTTATAGATGCTATAATTCCCTCTAACTAAAATCAAATAAGAAATGCATAGCAACAACCACGCAGTAACGTATCAATAAGGAATCTCCTATTCGCGGTAGTCAAGATCATCATCTGATGTTCTGATGACATTGAAACTATACGGAAAAACATGTCTAACTTCCAATCGGGAAGGTATCTAATGAATGAAATCAGTCAGAAATAAAATTATCTATGTATCACGGGAATTACTGAGCCTCAATAACCTCAGGCAATGGGCTTATATCACAAAATAAATTTATTTCATAATTCGATAGAACTCACCCAAACTAGCTCACCACCGCAAACCGTTTCTTGCTGTGAGCTCCCTTCGTTTTATTAAAAATTATTGAAATCCCCGATTTTTCGGACCTCTGAAAACGAGGCGATGATGTGACGTCAAAACCCTAATACTGAAACAAGACTATTCCAGACAGAGATGAATGATACATGATTTCTGACAGAGTGAAATAGCGCGAGATCACAGTTGGAAGAACTAATATACCAGTTGCCTTAGTCTCCGTCGGGCTTTTGGTACTTTTTTTTAACTATGGCGAGATAAGGTTCCTACGTCATAAGAGGGTCCGTTTTCAGATGGTACTATTATTTATGTCCAAAAATAAAACATTCCAGTTAATTTTTCGATCGAATTATGTCGTCAATCATTATTTATGTATAAAAGGATCATTATAAACATGGTTTGAGTCAAAAGTTCTACTAAGGTGTACACGCCCATTGCTGTCCCTCGGGCCAGAGGCCCTCGGGACGCAAACTTTGCCATCGGTAATTAAGGCCCTCATAATTCCCTTAATACATAAATAACTATAATTGCCTATTGGTTCCTTTAAAGCATACTATCACGTCATCTACGTATCTATACCAATACAAACATTGTTTTATCAATGTATGTTTATGTATCATTCCCTCAAGGTAAAGGGCTCAGTGGATTTCCCATAATCAACCCTTTTGACGCGGAATATATTTTGTTGTCAAATTGAAAGTAGGAATTATGTTTAAGAATTTTGTGAAGTTTTTACATTTGCCATGGATTTCCATCAAGTAACGGCCGAGTCAATTCAAAAAATACTCCTACAAACTCAGTTTGTGAGGAGGCCTAGGTAGTAACAGTGGAGAAAGGCATAGGAGGTGTCTACATTAAACCTAGGGTCGATATTATTGAGAGGTTGATAGAGTTACAGTGCACCAAGCGGTAAAAAAAATTACTATTCTTCATCTTTATTCCTCAGGAATAACTCTTTGCAGGAACAAAGTAAAATCTCTGTCAGATACAGTCTCTGGTATTTTTACTTTAGCCTTGAAAAATTATATATTTAAAAATTTAACTCTTTTTTCATTTTCGCAATAAACATTTAAAACTATTGCATCAATTTTAACTGGAGAATCAGCAACGCGGTCCTAACAACGGATATTTTTTTTGCGATCACGAAAAACGTTTATCCAAAATGCGAAAAATATTACAGGTCTGTTAAAGGTCGGGTATGAAAAAGTAACAGATGACATTATATACAGGGGGGAATGGTGACGAATATAATATACAGACTAGTTAAAAGAGAGAGCGCGGTCGAAAGAGATGATGAAAATGAGAGAGAAGACGAAGAAAAAGGCATCCTCGGTCAATCTTGAGGAAATTTGACAAAATTGGTGCAAGGACACGCCTAAATCTCGATGCTGATTGGCTTTGAATTCCGCAACCAAGAGTGACTTGTACGGCCTCTTAAATCTGCCGGAATCGGATCTTGAAAGCACATGTTGTGCTTGAACAAAAAACGCGAAAAAACATCATTTCACCCTAACTGAGGTTATTCAAGTAAATATGTCATCATAAGTGAAAGGAGGAAAAACTTGAAGTCACCAGGATTCCAATGCTGTATTGTTGAATTATTCAGATTCATATAGATTTTGGGTTTCAAGCTTTCAAACACGTGAAATTCCAATAGAATAATTTTCAGGGTATTTGAATAATTCTCGAATCCAGTCCAGTATTGAAGCTGGCTCAATAACACTTCATTACCCAATGTAGTACGGGGAACCAAAGAAGTCCTGAGACGAAAGGAAGAGAGTGACGTTGAACCACACGTGAACGTTTTATGAGGGTTTTTACATTGAAATCTATGATTTAAATTAAGAAATTAACCCTATGTCATTTTAAGCGTCTTTCACATCTAATTTGAACTTTCATTTCCATCAATTATTGAACAATAATAACAATAATCCGAAAATCGCCAAGAACAGCTATATACGAACATACATATAAAAAATGTTTTTATCCCAATTCTACATCATATGGCCGAGAATGATACGGGGTGTTCCATTTGAAAAAAAAAAATGAGAAAATTCAATTCGAAAAGTTCAGAATTGAAAGATATTTGTACAACTCAGAGGCGTGGAAATGGATTGGAAATATTTGACATCCTATCTACTGAATAGCTTCAATAATGTTTACTATTGGAATTGATGACTATGACGCCAGTAGTTTTCTAGAATGCATCTGAAAATTACAATTTTCGAGAAAAAAAATCAACTTTCAAGTGATATTTAATAATAGTGGCTGGAGGTCAGAAATGCCTGAAAAAATGTTATGTGATCCTATTAGAAAACTTGCCCTCGGATCCCTAGATTTTTACTACTACTACTATTACTATTGCCCCGCCCTGTACATTTTTGGAATCTACTACAAAAGTGGTAATACTATCTGAACAGAAGAATTCGTTCCTGATAATTTGATGTATCCGTCGACACTCCCTTTGGAACAAAAATCGAAAAATATAAACAGATGATCTACTCACCAATGGGTTCAACTCCTGAAATATGGTCCACGAAATCCCTCTTGCCCAAATACATGGTGAGTTTTCCATTTGGGGATTGTTTCTTGAACACTCGAAAGTTGAACACCATCTCTGCTGTTTTTTTCGTCGACAATATTTGAAACTGACTTCGACTAGGTTCATTTACTAGTTTTCAAGCTATTTTATATATTCTTTCTAAGGTTTCACTGACGTTATTAGATTATGCTATTAGTTTTCTCATGCTCCCACACACCAGATTATTCTTTAACGAGATTAAGTAGGTGTTTTTCCAATATTTTTGTTCATACTATAGGTACTTATTTGTCTGTTTTCAGGTAAAAATTATTTTACATTTCCTGAGTAGTTCAAAGTTTTGCAGACACTGTTAATTATCACTGATTTGAGGTGTACAAACAGTTTGAAATATCGCATTTTTAGTTGAGTTAGCGAGAATATTCAAATATTTAATGACAACATGGATGGGAATGACTTTTTTGTCAAGGTCACAGATTAATTCATTATAACAAAATGGAAATAAACCATCTACATCAGATTATTTTATGTTAACTTGAAAAAGTTGTTCTATTGAGAGGACTAATATGAAATACTATTGAAATTGGGGATATTTAGATTTACTTAAATTACTTTTGGGTGTATGATAAATTGACATTCATCATACAGGGCGTGGAAATGAATTCTGAATTGAGACTCTATCACGAATCTGCGATTAGAGGTCTATAAAAATCACAAGTTTCCATCGTTACTTAAATTACTCTTTTTCACTACTTATTACCTACTCTAGAAGTCAAACAATACATTACATCACAACGGGCTCGACTCCTGATCAATAATGAAATCTATTTTCGACTAATTTGATATAATGTCAGCATTATAATTATGGGTTTTGTTATGACTTTCAACCTATCGAATCAATGATTCTCATATCATTCTGTGAATTTATATTCATCTGAAATACCTAACTATAATATTATTAAGAGTATCGACTTCTCAAATAAATTTTTTGGTTTACTAAGAAACGATACATTAAATATATTGCAAAAATGTAATTCTTTGGATAAAAAATCTGGTGGGATCATTACGTCCACTATCAAAAAAACAAATCGGAAACGTTTTCACAAAACACATCAAGCAACATTAGTTTATTTGGGTATCTTAAATTCTCTGGACAAAATAACTTCTAATTCATTCAAAATACTATCAGTGATTTCAAATCTACTAATTTGTTCGTTAGTTTCGACACACATTTCAATATATTCAAACAGATTCCCATGATTTCTAGTTACAAACTCAGGAGGGTCATGTAACAAACCACCCTCCATCATCGGCCATGGAGAGAATTTTGAAAGTATCATCTACAAGAAAAAAAGCACACCGTTTATATTTGTTCAGTACTTAGATCATCAATGATATAAAGAGTATCTATAAGTTAAAAAAACTTTGAGAGTTGGTTGAAAACCGGAAAAAATCCCAGACAGCACCAGATATTCCATGAATATGAGACGGGAAATTTATTCATGTCAACAGATTTATCAACGAGTAGTTAATTTTTATGGATGATAGAAATGAATGGTTTGGAAATATTTGACTAGAGGAACTATTTTCAAAAACTAGAAGTCTCCACAAAAATCATACCTACCTTCCCTTCCTATCATTCCTAGGTACTTATGCACGATGTTCCACGAACATATTAGGGATTTCGTGTGCTCCAGAACATAAAAAAAACTTGTTGATTTGTATTCTCTCCCCAAAATTCGTAGAAATTATAATTATTATCACTCAACAAGATGTATGATTCAACTAGGTATGAGTAAATTGAAATATTACACAATACTTTTGTGACACTTATCCATTGTGGAATAGGAAATTGATAAATCCACTAGTTGTTAAAACTTGAGGTTGTTCTTGAGATTTGTTAGAAATCATTGATAAAAAAGATCTATAAAGATATAATATAATATACAGTATTCTTTTCATATTGAATGATAACTTTCACAAAGCACTGTTATAATAAATTCGCCGTATTCTGAAATAAAGTTATCTAATCAGAGTATTTGAAAGCTATGATACCTAAATAAGGCATATTCCATTCGTTTCTCACTGCTATGTTTTATCATCCTTCTATAATAGACCCCACACAATCATATTTCCCTTTGATACGCCTATGTTTCACCAGTTCAATCTCCTGAGTGGCTCACCATTTTTCTTATAGGATTGGTGATCTAGATTATGTGTAAGTATATTGGTGGATATGACAAATATCAGTATTAATTAAAATAAGGTTATGTCGGTAGGAAGTACTTTTATACCGTTTTCCACTGGAATGCCATTCTGCATTCAGTGTATATCTTTCCCTAGTTAATTCCATATGACCGACCCATAAGGATACAAATATTCAGTGCGGAAAAAGTTCCAGCCAGTACGATTGGAGAACGGTAATAACGTGACGTCAGTACCATTAGTCGTTTTTCCTCAATTTCAAACAGCATTCCTTTGGGAATTCAATTTGGAAAAACCCGTGAAAAATGTTTTTTTTTGTGACGGAAATAGGTATGACATTTCATATCGGTTCACAGATTTTAAACTGTCAGTTTTCCCACGGGAAAAAAGTGAGTACTTTTTTCCCGGATATATATATATACGAGGTGTTTTTGAAATAAGTGCACATATTCAGTACATTAATATGATGCAGTCTGAAGAATATGCCCATGATTTTTTCTAATTCTTCTAATTAAAGAGAGATTTCATCCCAAAAATTGAACAAAATAAGAGAAAAAAATCAAGTACGCCACTTTAAAACAATTTAAATGATTGAACTCCGCGTGATTGTGCCTATCGCATGAAAATTTGAACAGAGGTGACGTCAGATTTGCTACAGTGTTGAACTTTGGGTGGAAAGAGGGGTCTAACCTCAACTTTTATGTTGATTGAAGTTTTTTTTTTACTAGTGCCATTCGATAGTACACATCGAGCTTTCTCAGTGTTTGAAATATTCGCACTTATTTCAATGCCACCCTGTACATACAGGGTATGAGTAAGCTCGAAGTATACTATCTAGTGGTACCAATAAAAAAAATTCAGAGATCGAAAAAAAAATTGAGGTTAGACCCCTTTTTCCACCCAAAATTCCACACTGTAGCCATTCTGACGTCACCTCTGCTCAAATTTTCGTGCGGAAATCACAATCACGCGGATTTCAATATTTAAATTGTTTTAGAGCGGTGTACTTAATTTTTTTCTCGTTTCTTGTTCAGTTTTCGGGATGCAATTTCTTGTTAATTAGAAGAATTAGGAAAAATCTGATATCATGGGAATATTCCTTATACCGTATCATATCAATATGCTGATTATATTTACTTATTTCAAAAACACCTTGTATATTTATATATACACTGTTGATGACTCTTGTTGTGCTAGTAAGGAAAATTAAGCCAGTAACACCGAGAAAGAACTGACAACCACTGAAAGTTCGCAATTTTTAAAAATCAAATCACAGATTTAGACTGACAGATATCTGATTACTTCAAAAGTATGATAAAGATGCCTAAAACGCAGGTGAAATTCCTATTGAAAACTTCAAATTTCACAAGTCCAATATAATTTAATTATATTTTCAATTCTGATTCGTCCTTTTTCCTGTCACATAAAAAATAGTGTATCATACACAGGAAAAATATTAGATTTTAGTTCACAACCTCTGGAGCAAAATCTACTCCTTTATTCCCTTATATAATAAATGAATATTTCATCTTATTTAGTCATTGTGAGGTATATCATTAGAAATTAGTGTTCATGCTTGATCAAAATTGTTACTTGCGAAAAAGGTTTTTTTTCTGTGACGGAAAAAAAAGTTTGGCATTTCATCTCTGTTGGCAGGTTATAAAATATCACTTTTCATTAATTACTTTTTTCCAGTGGGAAAACGGTGAGTGCTTTTTTCCCGGATATATATCACATATATACAGGGTGGGTCACGGTCGATGGCACCTTAGACGTTTACGGAGAATGGGACATAAGATCATTCTGAAAATTTGGTTACTCAAGTAATTGCTCTTGATCTATCTTTCTAAAATATTTTCAGCTCTGCGGCGTTGCCGCTTCTATCGAAAAGTAGCAACAACTTTGTTATTTTAAATGGAACACCCTGTATTTTATCGCATTATCAGATTCTCTCTGAAGAGCTGATTTCATCGATGTATCACACTTGGGGTCTAGCGGAAATGATTACAGAGATATAGGGTGTGAAAAATCGACATTTTTCAACTTTAGGAATTTTTTTTGTCGAAACTATTCATTATTGGTCAAAACGGCTCACATGTCCCTATCCCAACTTTTGATCAACTATCTACTGACATTTAATTGAAACAAATACAGGGTGGTGCAGAATTCAGATTCTTGATCACCCGGTATATGTCCCAATTAAATATCAGTAGATAGTTTATCAAAAGTTGAGATAGGGACATGTAAGCCGTTTTGACCAATAATGAATAGTTTCGACAAAAAAAATTCCTTAAGTTGAAAAATGTCGATTTTTCACACCCTATATCTCTGTACTCATCATCGCTAGACCCCAAGTGTGATATATCGATGAAATCAGCTCTTCAGAGAGAATCTGAAGATGCAATAAAATATAGGGTGTTCTATTTAAAATAACAAAGTTGTTGCTACTTTTCGATAGAAGCGGCAACGCCGCAGAGCTGAATTTTAGATCGATAGATCAAGAGCAATTACTTGAGTAACCAAATTTTCAGAATGATCTTATGTCCCGTTCTCCGTAAACGTCTAAGGTGCCATCTACCGTGACCCACCCGGTATACACTATTGATGGCTTTTGTTGTGCTATAGTTCCGAAAAATGAGTCAATAATACCGTCTCCGAGAAAGAACTGCAAGTCCTTTTATCTTCCATTCGAATTCGAGGTTAAGTATATTACTGAACAATCACTACATTCCCAATTTGTTGAAATCAAATCACAGCATTAGACTGACAGAAGTGACATCATATATTTGATTACTTCAAAAGAATGATAAAGATGCCTACAACGCAGGTGTCCATACTGTTAAAAACTTAAAATTTCACGTCGATAATTTTCAGATTTCAAAATAATGTACTATCTTCGCAATATTGATTCGTCCTTTCTTCTGTCACAGAAGAAAATAGTGTATTATACACGGGAAAATATTAGATTTTAGCTCACGGTTTTTTGTCTCCCTCCACAATGCATCGGGTGACAACACAACCTGGAGCTAAAATCTACTACTTTTTTCCCTTGTATAATGAATAACTATTATTGTAAGAATCTTAGCAAAAAAATAATAGACCTACTCACCATGCACACCCCATATATATTGTGATCACTAACAGAATGCTCACAAAGCTCCTCTCGTGAATAATAATAAGTATCTGCAACATGTACTGTATGGTGCACACGTGACGTCCCAAATCCATCCGCTTCCATCATTTTCACAACGGCATGTTCTAGATCAACGAAAGCCACTTTGAGCTCGTCATTCACAACAATATTATCCGGTGATATATCTGTCAAATATAGCCGAAAACGTTCATGATTTCCAGTGAAATCTTTGGCTGCTTGAAGTATTTGGTATGCCACATAGCACCTGTCAATCCAAGAGTGGTTCTCAATGGTGGTTAAGGGTTGCCCACAGTTTTCCATTATTGCCAGTCTTCCACAGAAACCGAAGAGTTTCGGCACCGGAAAATCTTCCCCTGCGCTGAAGATTTTCAACAGAACTGGTTCAGCATTAATCTGCAGTATAGTTGAGAGGTGCCGAGCATTTTTGAAATCCGCATTTTGCCAAAAAGCGTCAAATGTTCTGTTATCACATATTGCAAATGACTGATGTTCATACATCAAAGAATGTTTCACCGATTTTATACTGTCCAAGTCTAGTTTGTGCAGTTCACTGTCATGAGCCAACTTTTTCAACACAACCTTTTTATTGTCATAAACAGCAAAATACACATTTTTTACACTGAGGAGATTATAAATGAAGTCAGAGACACTAGAATACTGCAATGTTATTTTATTCTCACGTATGTCCACACACATATCCTCCCCATAACAAAACGGGCATGTTTGAAGTTCACAAAGTTCCAACACTGTTTTTTGCTGAATCAAAAATATCATACTCAGAAGTACTGGTAATATAATGTAGTAATAAAATTGCTTTCTCATGGTGTATTGATGAATATGTCAAAGTCTAACGGTTATTTTTAGTGCCTTGTTGAAGTGCTTTTTGTCTGTAAGAATATAACTCTTTGACCCACTTTTCCATGCGGGCTTCCTCGTTCATAAAAAGCTGAAAAAAAAAGTTGTCACTAAGCAGGATTTTGACTATTTGTGATTCTATTATTATTGATTTCAACAACATTTTCTGTTCTATGATGACTACTATCTAATAAATTGATGATAAATTGATATGGTAGATAATTGGTATACAAATATCTTCCCACCACTCAAATTACTGAGGAAGTGAAGAAACATGTACTGGAAAAAGTTACTGGATATTAATTCCAGCACTAATACTAGTGTGCCGACCAAATTCAATCGGAATCAAGTTAAAAAATCTCCAATATACCTAATCACAATGAACTTCCAAAAATGTCATCAAAAAATCATCTGATTTTTTTAAAAGGTAGATGCAGATTGTTAAGTTATTTTATTTTAAAACACATTGAACCATTTATAATTAATTGATAAGATACAGAAACAATTTGACCACTGGAGTAAAATTTGTAGTTGAATAGACACTGGATAGTGAACATACCAAATCCTAAAATAATTTATAGCAATTACTAATTGTTTGAGAAATAGATTATATTGAGAACCAATTTAATGATATTATGTGTCATTAATTACAGATAAAAATAATTAGGCATAGTGAATAAATTAATGGTCACATGAAATATAAATTCAAAATGAAGCAGCAGATACCTATACAATGTGTTTCATTTTGCTATTCCTGGCTATACCTAACCTACCCCTGTATTTTTATATCTTAGAATGACTGAATTAGTTTTTATGGTTTTCAGCTACAGCTTTCTTGATGTTAGGACAAAATAATATGAACTAACTCTGTTCTATTTGAATATAATAAATTACCTAATGATATAAAGTTTGAAGATGAGCAAATTCAAACATGAACTCAAAACACTAATAATTTCTTAATGAAATAGGATGATTGATTTTCACCCATACAATATGAGTTGGTACACATTTGATGTTTTTTTTTCATATAAATATAAATATATTTTAATAAGATTCACATTGAAATAACATGAATAATCAGAGAGATATGAGACTATTCATGTGTTATTAAATCTATGTTATTGAAATAAACAACAGATTCAAAAATAAAAATAATCCAATTGAAGTTAGATTTGAGGTGTTTGTTGATGATATGAAAAGATATTTTGAGAGTATTTATCAGATGGTGCTCTTCCAAAGAAACTGTATTTGTTTCTTCATAAAGTTGATTTGATGGGGTGTCATATGGAACACAATACAGTACTTTTAATACTTTTTCATATAGTACTGATATTTTGTTAAAATTATTCTTGGAACATGAACCCCAAACATTTATGAGATAGTTCATTTTACAAAGGATGTGAGAGTATTGAATTATATTTGGGATAAGTTTTGGACATCTTCTTAGGGTACCAACTATGGGAGAAACTTTTTCTTTGAGCATGCTAATATGCTTGTCCCATGTAAACTTTTCATCAATCCAAATAACAAGGTATTTGGTATAGGCAGTTTGTTTCAATCTTTAATTTATTATTCTAATATTCTAGTCAATATTTTGTTTGTTTCTTTGATGAAAAGTTTTAATTGTGTCTTATTAGAATTAAGAGAAAGAAGATTGGAATATAGCTATTCTTCCATTTTCTTCAAATCCTCATTTATGTTGTTTTCTAAAATTACAGCCTTTTTGTTTTGGAATAAAAGTACTGTGTCATCTGCCTATATGGCATAGTTTCCTATTAGATTTATTTTTGAAATGTTTTGAATGTATAAAAGATACAGATTTGAGCCCAATACCGATCCTTGGGGAACTCCTTTGTTTATATATAGTATATTAGATTCACAATTATAGATTTAAGTCCTTTTTTCTAGATATATTTTCAAGAGATTGTTTCCAATTCCTCTGATGCCCATTGAATTAAGGTTTTTCAGGAGAATATTTTGTGGTCAACTGTATCAAATGCATTTTTAGGTCCATAAAAATGAATTCAAATATCAGGTATATTGTTTATGAATCATTCTTGAAAAAACATGTAGTTGTGTTATTATTTTTAACTACTTTCTTATAATACACCTAACTTGTTTTTGACTGAAATATATATTTCCAATGAATAAATGAAAAATACAAAAATACATTTTTCTCAACAATTTCATGTGTATTCCTTGAATCTCATTTGAGTTGTGTACCTCTCCTCTATGTACCAATATAATAACAGTCATCTCAAGTTTTTCCTCCCTATATTGAAAACACTTTTTTTCTAATCAAACCTACTCTCAGTTGTTATTAAATTTGAATAATTTGAACATATAAGTGATGATGAAATAATGAAGTAGATACCTACCTTTTATCACTTATTAGACAAAGTATATAAAAAAACAAAGTAAAACTCACATTATGATGAAATATACCATCTGGCTCAACCTGCTCTACTTCAGCCACCTTTATAGTGTTCTTCTTCAAGTCTATAAGAATATTGTCAGGAACTCTCTTAGATTTATTAGAAGTAAACTCCTTGGGAGTGAATTTATCTTCATTAATTTCATCCAATGTTTTACTATCAAGAATGACAACATCTGGAGATGTCTTGCTATTATCCACTGATTCAATGATAGTTTTAACTTGTTTCAACTTTGAACCATTTTTGAGGGATGTCTTCTTATTGTGTTCAGAGCTACTACTGCTAGACCTGGAACTTGAATGTCTTCTTGGTTTGCTGACAAATTCCTTTATGAAAGATTTAGACCTAGAGCGGCGTGATCTGTGTCTATCCCTATCTCTAGACTTTTCCCTTGATTTAGATCTTGACCTTCTATGCCGATCTCGGTACCTGTCCCGTGAATCACTTCTATGTGATTTCGATTTTAATGATCTATATGAGGTACTTTTACTTCTTGAGCGTCTATAAAATAAATCTCAATGAAATAAGATGATCAAAAGCAAATTTGATATCAAATTACCTTGTTCTACCATATCGATCCCTACTTCTGGATCGACGACTATTTTTTTCTCTCCTACGGCGACTCCTCACATCACTTGAATCTGAAGATGATGATCTACGAACAGTACTAACTCTGCATTTTGAACTAAACGTATGTGCCAACTTCTTATCAAGCACGTTGTCTTGCTTACCTCCTTTTGCTTCTACTTTTGCTTGATTTTTTACTGCCGCGTTTCTCATCATCAGAGCTGCTGGAGTACTTACCCATCTCTCTATTTTAATGCTTGGATAATCTAAAACGTACAAGTAATTGCAATTGCTTCTCTATTAGATGCAATTTCAAGCAATGTTAATTAGCTTACCATCATTTTGTTTGCCTTTTAAACGAATTGTGTTGTTTACTATTTTGACATTTGCATATTCCATGTGTGAAGTGTCTATTATTGAGTGTGCAGTGAATTTATCTGAGATGTTCATAACTAATAACCAGTTCAGAATGAACTGAACTCGAGAAAATGGAAGGAAAGAAATGATTTTCAGGTCGAGACCATGTCTAGACTGTCCAGACTAGTCGAAATTATTTGAAAGCGCCTGTAAAGACCTGAAGATAAATAATAATAATAATATAATGAGTCAAGGACAATATTATTTGTCCGAATGGTGGTATAATAGTCACAGCCACAGTGATCTTTGATTTTTGACATAATTTGAGAATTTTCGCCAATTTTGACATTTTCAGTTTTTGACGTGTTGTTTTGAACTTGAATAATTACAATTTTTTCAAATCAAGATAACAATTTTTGTTTTTGACAGGTTTTTAGCTTTAGTTTATCGAATATCGAATCTCAGGTAATAGTTTCTAACAAAAGATATGTTTTGCTATATATGTTTCACTGTTTCAGTAGAAATTTGAATATTATGGGTTATTAAGATTCTGTCTTATTACATAATTTCCAGTGTTTCCACCTATTATTTTCACACAGTTTCTATTATTATGGCACGCTAGCAATTTTGGAAAAAAGTATACCTATGATGAACATTATCAATTTGAGAATCGGAAATAAGCATGGCTGGCGACTACTGAATTATACTTTTCAATGGATCCGCTTCAATTCCATCAACAAAAACGCCCAGAAGTTTGAAATTGACAAGATCAGGAATCTCGGAATCCTGGCCCATATTGATGCAGGCAAAACAACAACCACAGAAAGAATGTTGTATTACTCTGGTTTGATTCAGCATATGGGAGAAGTACACCATGGCAATACAGTCACAGATTATTTAGCACAAGAACGTGAGAGGGGTATCACTATCACATCAGCAGCAATCACATTTCCCTGGAAAAAGTTTCAGTTCAACCTCATAGACACTCCTGGACACATAGACTTCACAATGGAAGTAGAGCAAACTCTGAATGTCTTAGATGGGGCCATAGTTGTCTTGGATGGGTCTGCAGGTGTTGAGGCACAAACTCTAACAGTTTGGAGACAATCCCATAGATATGAAATACCTAGGATAGTTTATGTTAATAAAATGGATAGAGGGGATGCTGATATAGATATGTGTTGTAGATCTGTGGAAAGTAAGTTGGAAACACCCTATGTATTATTACAATTGCCTGTGATAGAAAACAAACAGCTAATAGGAATAATTGATGTATTAACATTAGAACTTTTGAAATATGGTACAGTTAAAGAAAAGCTAGTGACTAAAATCCCTCTCAATGAACAGAATCATCCAAAGTACTGGAATGATGCAAAATTGATAAGGTCCCAAATTATAGATAAACTAACAGACTATGATGATGAATTAGCTAATACAGTAATAGAATCTGAATCCCTTGAAGAAATTACCACAAAAGATATAGTTAGGTCAATAAGGACAGTAACACTACAAAAATCTGTTACACCAATACTCCTTGGTAGTTCATATAAAAACATTGGTGTCCAGTCATTGATGGATGCAATTGTCTTGTACCTTCCTTCTCCCATTGACAGAAACCAAGTTTATTCACATTTTGAAGATAATATTTGTGCTAGAGCATTCAAAGTAATACATGATAGACAGAAAGGACCATTGGTATTTATGAGAATATACAATGGTACATTGAAGAAAAACCAAAGAATATACTGTATAAGGAAGGATATCTCTGAGCAAGTAGGTAAATTATATGTAGCTTATGCAGATGATTTTGAAGAAACTGATGAGGTTAGTAATGGAAACATTGCTGTAGTGAGTGGCTTGAAAAAAGTAATGTCAGGAGATGTGTTAACAAATTCTGGTTCAACCTATCAAAAGGCAAAAAACAACTTCCTAAAGAATATTAGGAAGGATGAAGTAGATGAAAAAGATGTAGATAAACATCTTGGTATTGATGTTGCCATTCCAGAACCAGTATTTTTCTGTTCTATAGAACCCTCAAGTTTATCTGTTCAAAATGCTTTAGAACAAGCCTTAAGTGAATTACAGCAGGAAGATCCCAGTTTAAGAGTAACAAATGACTTAGAAACTGGACAAACTGTATTGGCAGGAATGGGTGAGCTACATTTAGAAATAATAAGGGATAGAATTCTGAGGGAGTATAAAGTAGAAGTTGACTTAGGGCCATTACAGATAGCATATCGAGAGGCACCTATTAAAGGCCTGACTGACACTTTAACAGTGGACACTAAAATCAGCAATAGTAGGGAACATGTAACAGTGAAAATCACCATTGTTCCAACAACTGACCAAATTACTGATATTCTGAAACTAGACAAAAGCCCTGATAATGCAAGTCACATTGCAAGCATATATCCCAAACACTTGGTTTCTGTTCGCCAAGGTCTTGAAGTGGGTTTATCACACGGACCCAAAATCAGCTGTCAAGTTGTGAATGTTCAAGCGATTTTACACTATCTGGAAGTCGGTAGGGGGACGTCAAATACAATGATAGCCGCAACAGTGACACGTTTAGTGCAGAATATGCTGCGCGAAGTCGGTACCGATATTTTGGAGCCAATAATGAACTTGGAAATCCTCACCCCTGAAGACTACCTTTCTTCAGTTTTGGCAGATCTGTCAAGAAGAAGAGCCACTATAAACAATATTGGATTGAGAGGAAATGCTAAAGTTGTTGAAACAAAAACACCATTGGCAGAGTTGTTGGGATACTCAACTATTTTGAGAACAATAACATCCGGTACAGGGAGTTTTTCTATGGAATGTACTAATTATGAACGTTTATCATCAGATCAAGAACTTGATGCAATCAAACATGTTAGAGGATTTTAATGTGTTGATATAGGAGAGTGATTATAGTTTCAAATCCGATGTGAATGATTCAAAACTTATATTCGAATAAAAATACCACACATTATTAGAGAAATTGAAGAGAAGACCGACCATGCATTAACTTGGGACATCACATGGTCGCTTATGCATTGAATAATGAATATGCTTGATAAAATAGGTTCATAAGAATATGGTATCATTGTTTTAATTGAGACTGGTTGCCATGGTTACATTTTCCAAAAACTGACTACACTTTTAAGGTTCTTCATAAAAAATCCATAAGAGGCGCCGATTTCGTCATATTTTTAATGGCCATTGGACCAAATAAGAACAATCCCGACAAGAAAATTAGAAAATTGTGTACGTTCATTTTTGATGGAATTGATTGAAATTCTGATTATTGATTGATGGATTTCAAGAAAAGTTGTGCAGCGACATCTATTAAAGAATAAGATGTATCAAGAACCTTCATATTGGGGTGTGTCAAGTTTGGGCAAAACGCGGTGTCCCAAAGTTGATGTAGTCGATGGTCGTGGTCTAACATAATATCAATAAATTGCCTCATGAAGTAGAATAGAGACACAAAGAGTACAAAAACGATAGATTTCACCAATTATCATAACATTGATCATTCATAACATGATTCATAACATTGAGCATTCAATGTTTTCTCAAAAAAAATGAAAGCAAAAATTATTCATAGTCCAAATCAGCCATTTGGTATTATCGACGTTGACTGAAATTTAAAGTCCCGATTCTATAACAGTTTCGTCTGATCCCGAACCGTGTCTTCTAGGGCACTGGAACTGAATAATCTATTCTCGTAGCACTCGTACTCGCTAGCTCAAAGAAGCATGATCTGAATCTAGTATCTACGGTTTCTGCAATAGCTATTTAATTTTCAGTGGACAACTAGCGTGAAAACTAGCTCTAGCTAGATTAAAAAAATTCTTTCAGAATAAGAAAGTGATACAAATGGTCTAGTTCATATTGAAATATCCAGTGGCATATATGATTGTGATGAGGTCAGTATGCGCGACTATATGCGCATAAATGCTTGAAAAAACAGGAGTAGGGCGCCACTCGCCAGGAACTTTTTAACTGATGCTGGGTTAATAGATTCAACTAAACTAAGAATTAAAAATTAAACTAACAACTATATTTGAACACAAAAAGTTGAATAGAAGGAAACATCTATGAAAGTTTACACATTTACATCTCTTGTCAAATCAAGAATTAAGAATAACAAAGTTGGCCAACTTTCTCATCTTGACAATGACAACTAAGAATTATGAAATTCTGGAGACAGAACATTAAGATTGGATTTGTTATTGTTCTAATGAAGTTTGGTGATATTTAATTGGAAATTTTTTTATGGATTCATGAATTGTGGAGACCAAAATCACTTTTTAACATCATTTTGAATTGATCTTCAATCAAAAGCCATTTCATATTTAATTCTTAATCAATATTAGATATATGTTTGAATGCCCTCATGATTATTAATTGTTAATTCCTAAGAATGAACATAGCCACCTTAGAACAATTTAGAATGAACATAGACCATAGGTCGCGTGCACGAAGACCGACCCTGGAGGCAAAATATTGAAACACAACCTCATTCTTCTGTGAATTATTGAAACACTTTTTTCATTTGGTTACAGAGGAATCAAAAGGTTGAAAATGTTGAAATAATTTTTCACAATATTTCGGCATACGAATCGTGTTTCTTGCGTTATTCATTAATTCAAGCATGCCTTCGCATTGTGCTGTTGTACAATGCACAAAAAATGCAGCAAGAGACTAGGGAATATGATTTTTCAGGTATAGTAATCTCACATAGTTATCATTATGAAATGTTGTCATTCCTTATTAAAATTCCTTCTGCCTGATGCTATAATAGATTGAAAATGTCTACAACACACACGATCGTCAGCATGTCAGACCAGTCCTACCGATTGATTGCATGAATCCAATCTTCTTGCATTATTCTAGAAATTTCAGGTATATTTCTATTAGCTGATCCTATTGCAGAAGAAACTCCGATGAGAAATCAGAGAAATAACCAAATTTCAAAAATGAAAACTATGTGAGTGACTATAGTAGGTACTTTTGAATCATAATGTACCATCCGGATTTCTTCATCTTCCGCTGCAGTTTTTGTGCATTTTACAACAGCACAATGTGATGGCATTAGCGAATTGATGAATATTGAATAGCGGAAAAATACGATTCATATGCCAAAATAATTGTGGAAAACTATTTCGATCACTTGTAAACAAATATGTTTTGCCTCCAGGGTCGGTCATCTGACAGTTCTTGCACGCGACCTATAGGTACAGTAGGTACAGTCCTATAGGGGCTCCACCGCTCCACCTTTCCTGTCTCCTTTCAAATTATCTGGTTATGTTCGATACAGTTTAAGAGTCTTACGACCAAGAGTACGGGCAATGGTTTGTACGGGCAGAGGTTTGTACGGACAGAGGTCTGTACGATACGAGCAGAGATCGATGTTCATTGGCAGAGATGAGTGACTTGTGACAAGTGAATTTCTTAGATCTTGGACATTTCTTTGACATATTTGCGCTTGCGCTATGCCTGAGCGCATGCGCTGAATTATTCATCAATTTCGTTTGTTTTGATGAAGTTGTCGTTGTCTTGCTAGGAAGGTGTATCGATTTTATTTGTGATTCTAAATTCATTTTTACAATGACGATTCTAACAAAGTCCTTTTCGGAGAAGAAAAGCGACAATTCTATCGCCCCGTTGGTGTTAAATGAACAACTGCCTCCACCGGTGAGTTTAATATATTGACCAATATTTTTTTATCCTCCCAAAGGTAATGGCTGTCTGCTAGTTTGAAGTTGAAACGTCATTTATGCTGAATTGATGAAAATTCACTATTATATTTTAGTTAGGGTCATATTTCAGTATATTTGTTGAATGTAGAAATATTACAAGGATCCACCTTGATAAACAAATGATTAATAGAACACTTGAAACAATGATAATCAATTTCCCGCTTACCTCATTGTTTTTATTTTTAGCTCTGTTTGAAATGAATGTTTTTGTTCTTGTTATCCATAGTTATCATATGAACATTATTGTGACTAATTCCCGATATGCGATATGCAAAAACTATGATATATCATTGGATATTCTGTGATATAAGTAATATCAAAAATACATTCTTCATTAGGTCAAGTTATATCTATTATACAGGGTGTCCCATAAGTGATGGATCAAAAGACGTGTGGTGGTAGGGGGCGGGGGGTCATTTCCAATCAAACTAACCCTATTATATACAGTAAAACTGCATTTATCATGCGATGCTTTTTTTTTTTTTAAATTGGTACTTAAGTATTTTTGTCTGAAAAACACATAATGGAAATGTGAACAAACCATTATATATCGAGATATTTCAATAAAAAGTTCGAAATTCCGCCTTCTTTTTCCCTTAATGTTGGATGCATTTACAGCTACTTGCTCTTCTTATTTTGTCAATGGATACTATATTATTATACTCATGATGTACTTCAATGACACATTTTTCTATGGAAAATTCAACAAGAAATATGATTTTCATGGCGAGAGTTATATTTAGTGAACAAGCATACCAGGTAGCCGTGCGGACAGAGTGTCTATATTCTAATCCGCATTCGCTTGCCGGTCGTGGGTTCGAGTCCCGTCGACTGCAGAAATTTTTCTGATGGCCCAAGAAAGTGTTTGGGATCACACGTTAAAAGGTAAGGCCCCCGTCATTCCTTGCTCGCACAAGACTCTCGAAGACTTCTGAGGGTTGCTCGTAAGGGGGCAACCGAATGAGGGATAGAACAATTTTAGAACAATTTAGATGTCGGCCATTTAACAAAGAATATTGCTTTTAAATGACATTACACACGCCATTATTTTAAATGATATTTTTCCTTCTTTTCACTAAATATCGATAAATCACAAGAAAATCATTTTTCTACTTGACTCATGTAATAGAAAAAAATGTGTAGTACATTGTGATATATATGAATTGTTCAATGATGAAAAAAGAAGGGTAAATTGTTCTAAATGGGATCCAAAAGACAGGCGGAAAAAAAGGCGAAATTTGAAACTTCATAGTGGAATATCTTAATAAATGATGGTTTGTTCACATTTTCATTATCGAATTCGTGTTTTTCAGACAAAAATAAATAAGTACCAAAAGAAATTTTCGAAAAAAAAACCATCACATGATAAATGCAGTTTTACCTTATATTCTTTTAATCTAAATTGACTGAACTATTCAACTTGAACTGGTCTGAATCAGTTAATATGCATTCTTTCAAATGACATTCATTGCATGTCAACTGATTCAGTTCAAGTGAAATGTGTCAGTTCGTTCATAATGAAAGAATATCACTTATGTTGTTATTCAATTGTTGATGGTCAAAAAATTATTAATTTTTTTTCATTTCTATAACAAAAAATTAATACAACGATGTCACATTTGTGATTTTTCTTTCACGAATTTCATCCACATGTAGGTATCTTTCCCCAGAAATAATTTAATGACCTGTGTTACTTCATATAATTACCTATGAAAATGTTTTTTTCCGTAAGTTGTGTCATTGAATGAAATATTTCAGTTGATTTTCAAGTGACGCTGGCAGATTTTAAAACTACCTCACAAAGATAACCAATTATTAAGGAAACGTTGCCAATTTAATACAGATTTCGAAATGGTATAACATATTATTATGGGGTTATTTAAAACAGCCTCATTGTTATTAATTTTTTGAAATGGGTCGCGTTTTTCAGAAAAATTGAATAATTCTTGAACCATCAACAATTTGATAACCATATACAGAGAAGTGCACGAAAAACGGCCAGGACTGTAACTTATGAATTATTCGAGATAGGGTTTTGAAAATTGGTGGGAGGCAAGTATACCAAATTGCTCATTAATTGATGAAACCATTTTTCTTTTATCACATTCAGTTTCACCGGAAACTACCTCAACTCTTGATTTTTGAATGGGACACCCTGTATTGTATTCTATAATCGGTTAGGGATTATCATGACGAATTCAACGATACCGGGTTTGATAGGGTTATTTCAAACAATTACGAAGATATTTGTGTTCGAAGTTTCCATATGCTCAATGAGTGTGACTTCCCAATATCAAAACTTCTTTCTCTGTCACACTCATTGAGCAAATGGAAACTTAGAACGCGAATATCGTTTGAAATAATCCTATCAAACCCGGTATCTATGAATTTGATATGATAATCCTTAACCGATTATGGAATAAAATACAGGGTGTCCTATTTGAAAATCAAAAGTTGGGGTCGTTTTCAGTGAAACCGGAAGTGGTAGAACAAAAATTGTTTCGTCAATTAATTAACAAATTGGTATACTAGCTGCATACCAAGTTTGAAAACCTTATCCCGAATAATTCAAAAGTTATAGTCCTGGCCGTTTTTTGTGCACTTCTCTGTATACCAGTAGTTTGATTGCAAATGATCTTCCCTATTACCCAAATTCTTTTGACACATGACTTATGGGAGACCCTGTATATGTAGGTATATATATCTAGCAGGTGTTAATTAATGCATAGGCTCACTGTTGTACCTATCTATCTCAATAAATTATTTCCTTGCACAATTTTTTTGTGGTTACCCATTCACTGGTAAATTTCTTCATGGTATTTTTTTCACTTTAACATATCATTATAAAAAATCTCATATGCAACAAATTAGTGATAAGATAATCTTCAGCATAATAAGCTGCATACCTATATAAACTTGTTATTTGCTGATAGGATAAGGCCTTTGATAATAAAACACTGTAAACTGTAATTGTTGTATTTAACCAGCCATTTTTTGAATTTTATAATTTACGAGCTATCATGAAGCCACCAGCAATGGATCACAAAAAGCTAGGTGCCTACGAAAATTGAAATATCAATAATTTTTATTGAATGTAATTATCTTTACAAAATAGAGAGAAGCTCAAAGTCATTACCTCAATAGTTCATTAAATGAACGAAAATGGTAGATAGAGAGAAAAACAACTACTGTCCTGGCTATATGCCACGCAGAACATTGGATTACATCCACCCGAAATCTATGCAATAATTCGTATAGAGGAATAAAATCGCAAGTGTTTCCTTCCGACTATTTCCGAAGTAGTACTTTTCGTCCGCAGACACTTACTTTTCGTCTGCAAATACTTTTGGTCCGCTGCAAGGTTGCCAGTTCTACTGAATTTTCTGTAAATCTCCTGATTTACATATTGATGTACTGATTTCCTGAAACATTTCATAATCTCCTGAAAAATATTTCGACACTTATTAATTATAATAATTACCTTTGTTATTATTAATCTTCAGTTAATCACATACATTTATACCTTGCAAGATATTTCGGCACGCACGCTCATATTTGAATATATTTTACAAAATAAGTAGTAAATTTACATACAAATACAATTTTTTATATACCTCCGTTATAACAGTTTGTTTCTTATGTTCAATATTTTTATTTCGTTTTGTATTCCTGTTGTTCATTTTTAGTATTCCTCCCTGTTTTATATACAGCGTGTCTCATTTCAAACGGCCCCCCCTCTATATCTCAGCTATCAGTCGTGCGATCTTTACCAAATTTGTATCGGTATGAATAATCATCAATATGACCAGTTCTTTAGGGACAAACATCATTTTAGACAGTGCCGTGCATTTTTATTGAAATGAATAGGGGTCAGTTTTTTATTAAATCATATTAGGCATTTTTCCACAGGAAAACTGACCTCATTATATTATTCTTCATGGTTTCAAACCCACATATGTGGATTTTCATAAGATGCCTATAAAGGGTTTCAGAAAAACAGGCACATCTAAACAGCATCTTTGCGAACGTAATAATTATTTACTCGGAAACGGTGAGTTCAACATAAAAAAAGGATAACCCGTTTTTCCTTCCAAATCATGATTTTCCACCTACCGGAGCCATTATACGTTCCAAAATTCGTAGTTGATTCGAAGTCACTATTTATGCGAGACTGAAAATGAAAAAAATGAAGCCAATCCTGTTTATTCGGAATCAGGTGATTTTTTGCATATTTATGGGGATTCGAAAGCATGAGGAACAATAATATGGGGTTAGATTTCCTGTAAAAAAATGCCTTATATGATTTTATGAAAAATCGACCACTTTTTATTTCAATAAAAACGCACGGCACTGTCCAAAATAATGTGCATCTCTGTAAAACTGATCATATTGATGGTTATTCATACCACACCAAATTTGGTTGGAATCGCATGACTAATAACTGAGATATAAAGGGGGGTCGTTTAAAGTGAGACACGCTGTATAACCAAATCTGATAAGTACCTATAGAAGTTTATTTTGACATTACAATGAATAAAATCATAAAAGTAAAGTTTCGCTCATTATGAAAAAATAGAAAAGAAAAGAGAGAAGGAGAAGCACCAGAAGACCTATATATACAGTGTGACCCATTTAAGATGGAAGCACCCTTATAAAACTTACATTTTTCAACCGATTGGAATAATTTTTTTTTGTTAGGTAGATATTCAAAAAGTCTATTAGGACACCAAATATCATGAATAAATCTCCATTTCCAGGGCCAACTAATCTGATTTTTCAAGGTCAAAAATCTAAAAAAATTACTAGCGAATTTTTTAGATAAAATCTGACTACACCACTGGATTTGTGACATTTTCAAATGGGTAACATGTAAATTACGTTGAAATGCGTCAATCAATAAAAAAGTTATAAAGGAATGAAATTTGAAAAATATGC